GAGAGAGAGAGAGAGAGAGAGAGAGAGAGAGAGAGAGAGAGAGAGAGAAAACAAGGTCACCACCCAGTGAAGATGTAAGAGTTGTAGTCTAGCACACTAGACTAGTCTAGCACACTATTGGCTATCTCTGGCTCTCACATGTGGCACTCCACCTTACTAGGATTTTTTTTAAAGAATATTCATTATGAACAAATGTTTCTAAACCAGCATCATTATTTTTAACCAGATTCTCATAGAAATCAGTCAGATATGGACGACAATGGAGTTTACCTATGAAAAGCATTACAGGACCAATATTCCTTTGCTGAAAATTGATGAACAGCTTTTTGAGACTTTAGACAATAACCAAGTAAGATATTTTCTGATGTAACTAACAACTGAGCTCATTGCTGAATTCCTGATGTGTTTAATTGGGCTAAGTTTACAGCCCTGCTTCCAGAATTTGTATTTAAAATTAATCTTAACTGTCCCAGATGTTAGTCTGTAAAATTATATGTGTTCTTGACTGTATATGTTTTAACAAAAATTCCTGTCTGTGTAGGAGTTAGCAAAATTATAGGTCCTTGGTCTCTTTCCCCCCCTAGATAGTATAGAATCATTTAATAATATGCTGTCCATTTGCAAGGTTTGAAAATGTCTTTTGCTATGATTTACTATAATAATAGCTTGCAGGAATTTTTTGTAAAACTTTTGTGGCTGTGTCTCGTGTGCCTGTTCAAGTAATTTTATTTATCCTTTAATTTTATCCCTCCTCTTTTGTTTTCTAAGGTTCAGCTGCAAACAATTCTACAGAGCAAATATGTTGAATATTTCATTGAACAAGTCTTAAGCTGGCAGAAAAAGTTGAATGTGGCAGACGCAGTCATATTCATTTGGATGGATGTTCAGCGTACATGGGCACATCTAGAAACCATTTTCATTGGCTCGCATGATATCAGAGATCAGCTTCCCCTAGATGCAAAACGATTTGATGGCATTGATTCAGATTTTAAGGTTAATGGAGAACAGCCTCCCTGATAACATTCATATCACATCATCAAAATCTCACATTCTGTCCTTTTTCATTTACCTTTTCCTGTGGGAAAAACAGACTAGGAACCTGCAAAGAATAGCTGGAAAGGAAAAATTTTTTGGGAAATTCTACGTTCCCCAGCTATTCTTCCAGGATCCTGTAATCTCTCAGGAGCTTGAGCAGGCTAATTCCCCACCCCCATTTATTTATTTAACACAGTTGTGTGCTGCCTCTTCAGACTGATTTCTTTAACTACCTGTCAGTATTTTGTCACCTCTGGAGCAACTGTGGTTCATCAGGGAATTTTTTATTGTTCCCTTATTTTGGTTAATTGCCTGCATACCTGTAAGAATCCCACGGATGTAGAAAAACCTACCTTGTACCTGGGTAGCCATTTTTGCTGAGTTTGTAACCATAATGGGGCTAGCTACTTTATTATTAAGAATACTAGACTATTTTGTTATACAGTTATAAAACAGAACTGTATTGTATTTGAACAGGTAACAGTAAGTCAGGTCAGTTGTGCTGAAATCCAGAGAAATGGAAACCATTCACAAAATCATTTTTCCCACCAAATGTGTGTGGAAAAAATACTATGAGAAGGCTTTACTTAAAATCTTTTCCTCAAAGTGAACAGTTTAGGACATTGTAAGAAATGCTTAAATGTATTATTGCTGTGTTTCACATCTTCAAAATAGTTAATTATATGTTTCAGAAGACAACATATTTTGAACAAGTTCTTTTTTAATAGTTTGGTTGTAGAAACCCAGCTTCAAAACCACAGTGTTTATGAGGTTTCCTAAATATTATTTTAACCAGTATTTCTGTATTCATCCAGGAGTTAATGATTGACTCAGCAAATACAAAAAATGTATTGGAAGCAACAACAAAACCCAATTTATATGAAAAACTTGAAGACCTGCAACACAGGTAAACCTAAGCAAATAGTTTGATCTTCTTCATGGTCTCTGTGCAGTCCCACACTTGGGTTTTAGTATGAGAGAGTATGAGAACTAGCCTCTGGCATTTTGGCACAATTTTCTCTCACACTCTGGGAAGCAGGCATCGACTGCGCATGCCTGGAGGTGAGGAGAAAGCACCCTCCCACTCAATTCCTTCTTGGCTGCCATGTAATTCGCACCTCACTGCATTTCTTCTCCTTGAGCTTCCTCGGCCCCTTTTTCCTCATGACCTTTGTTGCTTCTTCTCATCTGTATCTTCCATCTTCACAGTCTTCTTATCTACAAAAAAAAAAAAAAGAATTTCTGTGAGTTCTATTTTTCTTTTTCTTCACGAATCCCCCCCGTCGCCGCCTCTGTCTGGGCACGGCATACGGGAGGGGCAACTTTCTTTTAAAAGTGCTGTAAATCCCAAGCCAAACTTCCCTTGAGAGACGGCCACGATCTCTGCCTTTTTTGCCTTGGCGAAAGCCACAGAGTTGAATCCTGCTCTTACTGCTCGAGCTTCACTAAGCAATCCAGGAAGAACAGGGTGGCCCATCTACAGAGTTTTCTACTAGAGGCTTCGTTCTGCCCAAGCATGTTTCAGTCTTTGAGATTACGGGCTTCACTGCCTCCCTCATCTACAAGGGAGGATTCGGCTGTGTTGGAAGCTTCTGCTGTTTCTGTGTTGAAGAAGGACAACTGGCAAATCTTCAAAGAGTCCACCGGATTCATCCTTGGATGCCCTGAAATTGAAAATGTTGAAAATGGCATCAGCCTTGACATTGACTGCACCATTCGTAGCCACGGGCACTTCAGCATCAACGCCCCAGTTAGAGCAGGGCACGTCGGTGGTACTGACTTCAGCACTCTTAGAACTGGCCTATTCCCTCCCTGCGATACATGCTCAGCTGCCTTCAGGCCAGCAAGTCTGCCTTATGCCATTGAGATCTCGTTCGGTATGCAGCCATGCTTCTGTGACCACTATTGCACCTGAGACTACCCACCACCAGGAAGGATGGTCCTCACATCAGGAGACCTGCTACTTTTCAAGAGCCTGCAACCGACAGACTCTCACAGCCAATTGGACTCGGGCACTGTGCACCATTGTCACATCCAGGACTCGAGATGCTCTCTACTACAGAACCCATCACGACCATGACCAAAGAAGTTACTCTTCCAATTTGAGGTCTCCCTCTCACTATCATTCTGAGTCTCAACATTATCCTTGGCACATTCACTTTTCCTGGTCTCTCTCAAGGTCTAGCCATCGATCCCAAGGGAGATCTCACACCAGGTTTCAGGCACCCCATCGCCGACATTGAACCTCTTGTCACATGATATACCACAACCCTTTACCAATTCCTCCCCCTCAGTCGTTGGGTCCGGAGACACCTTACCTTCAATCCATCGGGTCGGCTGCCTCCCAGTCTTGCACCTCTGCAGAGGTTCCGGTGTCCACCACAGTCTCAGTATTGACACTCACTCATATGTGCCCACCAGACAAACCACTGATTCGGCTCTGACGTCTATCGACCTTCCCACTCAACTAAGGGGCACATGGGCTTCCTCATCAGAACTGTCAGAGGCTGGTACCGACGGCTTAGACTTGGATGGCAACAGTCCCCTCTGTGCATCTCCTTGCTCCTTGCTGGTGGGGACTCCTTGGAGAATCCAGAACTCTAAGGGGTTGTCACAAAATGCATGCTGGTTGTGACGGCTGCCCTCAGGAAGCAAGGGATAGTTGTATTTCCCTGCATAGAAGACTGGCTTCTTGTGTCATAGTCTCCTCAACAACTGGAAACTCTTTGGCTTCTCGCCTGTCTGGGACTTTGTGTCAACCTTCCCAAGTCCTCCCTATAACCCATACAGGTCCTACAATTTATCGGTGCTCAGATTCATATCATTCATCAACAAACATACCTTCCTGCAGATAGGGCCTTTGCACTACTTTTGCACAGACTGTAATAGCAACACCCAGCCAGTCAGCAAAGACCATTACGACTGGCTACTTGTGTCATAGTCTCCTCAACAACTGGAAACAGATGTCTCCACTACTCTTTGGCTTCTCGCCTGTCTGGGACTTTGTGTCAACCTTCCCAAGTCCTCCCTACAACCCATACAGGTCCTACAATTTATTGGTGCTCAGATTCATATCATTCATCAACAAACATACCTTCCTGCAGATAGGGCCTTTGCACTACTTTTGCTAGCACAGACTGTAATAGCAACACCCAGCCAGTCAGCAAAGACCATCCAACGTCTTCTGGATCTCATGGCTGTGACATTTGTCATCCCAATTGCCAGACTGCATATGTGTCCACTTCAACTATGATTCTTCTGACAGTTCACACCCACTCACCAGGCACAGTCAGTTATACTCACTCTTCCTCACGATAGCCTCTCCACACTTGAATGGTGGACTCTGAATGACAACCTGTTAAGCAGCATGCCTTTTCATTGGCCATCCCCAGGGATCGTCTTGTCAATGGATGCCTCACTATGGGGTTGGGGAGCCCACTGTAAGACACTCTATGCACAGGGCGAATGGCCAGCTATAGATTGGAGCCTGCACATCAGTTGCCTTGAGCTGCTGTCTGTCCATTGAGCACTGAAATCCTTCCTTCCATTGCTGGAGGGTCAACCTGTGCAAGTTTCCACTGACAGCATTCTGACTGTCTGTTAAATAAACAAGCAGGAGGGAACTGTGTCAGCAAAACTGTGCAGAGAAGCTTTTGCCCTCTGGCACTGGTGCATAGACCACAACATCTACCTGACAGCTGTCCATGTACCTGGGGTCCAGAATAATCAGACGGACCTACTCAGTAGAACCAGGTTCAACAAACATGAGTGGTCACTCAACTTGAAATACTTAACCCCTGTCTTCCAAAACTTTGGCTGTCCTCAAATAGATTCCTTTGCCACCAGGGAAATGCAAAATGCACGGTCTTGTACAGCAGGGGTCCAACAATCCAAGGGTCATTAGGCAACACCTTTTTATATCAATGGATGGAGACTCTGTTCTACATAGTCCCATTTCCACTGATACTTCGCACCATTCAGAAGGCTGTTGATGATCACACAACATGCATTCTAGTGACACCCTGGTGGTCCAGACAACTGTGGTTTTCACATCTACTTCAGTTGTCTCACAACACCTATCATCACTTTCCTCAGGTGTCCGACCTTCTTTCACAACTGGGAAAGGTCCTGCATCACAATCCGAATCTATTCTGCTTGACTGCCTGGAAAATATCCCCTTAATATTTCCTCCTGAGGTTCAACATGTCCTGCTCAACACACGGAAATGAGCCATTTGTCGCACCTATGAAGCTAAATGGAAGCATTTCTCTATGCATTCAGTCAGCAAATGGACCCAAGGAAGGCCCCACTACATGACATTCTATCATACCTGGTCTTTTTTAGTGATTCTGGACTCGATTTCTCATTACTGAAAGTCCATTTGGAGGGAATCTCTGCCCATCATGACTTGGTGGAAGGTTGTACCTTTTTCTCACATCACATCACCAAGTCTTTCCTTAAGGGTATGCTATGCCTTCATCCACCAGTGAAACCTCTCATTCCTAACTGGAGCCTGTTGTTTGTTCTGACTAAATTGATGGGCAAACCATTTGAGCCAATGGTAACCGTGACACTCCACCTTCTCTCTTGGAATATGGCCTTCTTGGTTGTGCCTTCACATTGGATGCACCCTATACTGTCTTCCACAAGGAGAAAGTGGTATTGTGTCCTGACCCTTTTTTGTCAAAAGTGGTCTCTTAATTTCACCTGTCACCTTCTTTCCAGAACCAAGTGATGAAGGTCAGCAAGCATTGATGTTTGCAGGGCATTTTCTACCTAACAAGAACTCATCCTTTCCATAAGGACCCTTGTCCTAAAAGAGGCCACAGGATATCTTCTCAGTGGTTAGCAAAGTGGGTTACATCTGTCATCTATCTATGTTATGAATTGGGAAATCAACCCTTACCTGCTTAGCTGCGTGCCCATTCCACAAGAGCCATATCCATTTCATTGGCTTTCCTGGGAGGCATGTCTTTGGAAGACATTTGCAATGCAGCTACTTGGTCCTCACCATCGACCCTCAATCTCAGAGCCCGGTGAGATGCATCCTTTGGACAGTCAGTATTGAGGTCCATCTTCCATTGACCACCATGACAACCACAATTCTCAGGTAGGCCTAAAGCCAGTAAAGAGGTTCGTTTTTAACCATTGTGTTTAATTGCCAGTACCCACCATCCAGGTATTGTAGCTCGCTAATCACTCAAGTATGGGACTGCACTGAGACCATGAAGAAGATGCCTACCTGTAACTGATGATCTTTGAGTGGTCATCTGTGCAGTCACACATGCCCGCCCAACCTTCCCCACTGCTGGCATGTCATTCACTTACCTTTATGGGACTTACTGGTGGTAATTTATGGTACAGTAAATAACTTTTTGTTTAATAAGTTCCTCATGGACGGGGGTGGGGACATCAGTATTTTCTGAAGCTCCTCCTCTTTCTCTGTGAAGGTTTCTAGTAGTGAGCCAACTCTTGAGGAAGTTCATGCAGCATCCACCCCCATGCCTTTGAACTCCTCCTGTGATAAAGGGAGTATGGGATCCTGGTTATGATAATATGCCTGTGACGGTACCTCTCTTTTATTTTGTGTGACTAGGTATGATGTGGTTTTAAATTTCTTGCTGTTTCTTTCTCTCACTCAATGTATGTAATGCTGCCACCAGGAATATAATTCCAGTCTTTAATTATCCTTTCCCACAGTATTGTGCCCAAGCTTTAAGGCTCCTTCATTGGACTATGTAATTCTGAGGATAAGACTCTGGGTTAACAATAAACAAGATAAAACTTTATTGATAAAGGAAATGTATTGGTTACAAGATGTTTCATTAAGTTGCTTAGTGAAATCTTTCCCCTTTTACTCAGGTCTCTGTCAGCTTTTTCCCTCTTAAAATTCTCTGAATATATTAGATTTTGCCTAATATGACCCCTTAAGTATATGTTCTTCTTCCTTTAGAAACTTAATGCCTTTCACAGCACTTAAGTATGATTCTAGCAGACTACTTCTCAAACTGTGTAGATTGACCACAACTAACAGCTGCAACATGATTCTAGCAGACTACTTCTCAAACTCTGTGTAGATTGACCACAACTAACAGCTGCTGACTTCAGACTCAAACTGCCTTCTCTCTCTCCACACACACACACACACTTGGCTCCGCCCATACACTCTCAGTCACCAACCAATCACCTCACTCATTCATCTCCCTCTTTTACCCCCCTCATTCTTCTGACACTCACCAACCATTCAAAGAAACACAGACATATAACTTGAAATCATTACAAGAGGTCTTTCTTATGGCATTTCTGTTCTTGGTCACTGTGGACAATCCCCTTCTTCCTAGTATTTGGGCCCATAACTTCTGGTTTAACAATAAAATTAGCTTTCTGTCTAGTTCCTGTCATATAGACTATTTAAATTTATGCTGTCACTTTACGTTCATCCACCAAGCTAACAATGCAGACCTAAACAGAGTTACACCTTTCTAAGTCCATCAACTCCCGTGATAAAGGGAGTATGGGATCCTGGTTATGATAATGTGCCCATCAAAGTATACATGGAGCTCTGCATTGGGGCAGTCAGAAGTCCAATGTTAGTCAGACCTGTATGGAGAGCTCTGTGTGTGTGCAGGGTAGGCTCTATTTTTATTGCTCACTGGATTGGAACACTTCATTTTAATCAGAGGTGTCAAACTCATTTGTTATGAGGGCTGGATCTGACATACACGTCACTTTGTCGGGCTAGGCCATGGATACCATAAAATGTAATTCAGGTACTGGGGATATAAACTTTATAAAAGACACAGGCAACCCCAATATTATTTTTAGTCAAAATACAAAAAAAAGTAATTGATTCCTAGCAATGAAAGCAATTCACAAAAGCCCCAATATAATAATGTGCAAGACTAGGATTTTTCCAAGGGATACTGTAAAAGAAGAAGGTATCTTATATTTCCATACAAAGTAGTTATTTTGTATATATAGCACTTTTAGGAGAGTCAGCTTCCTTGCAAATAAGTAAGGTAGTTTAAAAACAAAAAAACACATATGGCCAGCCTCAGCAGTCGAGCGCAGCTACAATCAGTCTCTTGCTCTTTGTTTCCTCTCTTCCCTCATCCTACCTCTGAGGATCTCAGGGAGGTCACAGTCTCCCACCCACCCTAACACTCACTCTGCCTCCCAGCTCTGTGGCTGTTCAGATGTGCAACTTTTTCCCTTTGCATCTCAACTCACTTACAGGTCAGGAGGTTTTTCCCTCAGAGAGGCATACACAAACTGCACAGTTGCCGGCCCTCTTCCTCTTTCCCATTGACCCTGTTCCTTTGTCAGCAAACTGCTGCTCTATGTGCCCAGATCTTGCCAACCCCTTTCATGGTTGCCATTTGAAAAAACATGAAGCTGGTTGGTGCAGTTGTGGCAGCGCCAGCTGCTTGGCTCTGTCCCTTCATGTAGTGGCTTTGCCAGTCCTTGCTGAGCTGCGATTGAAGGAAGTGGGAGGGGAATAAACACCATACCTCTTTTTCTGCCTTTGCTTCCATTCCCCCCACACTATTTTACCTCATCCTCTTAGCCCCTCCCCCCAGCCATTTCCTTTCTATTTCTTGACAGCTTCGACCAACCACTTTTCACCAGGTCTGGGCCAGTTCTTGCCCCCGGTTCTTGAACCCCTGTTTTAATGGATCATCCTCTAAGGAAATTTATATCAAAGAAAAGTTAAAGAAGAAAATGTAAAATGTTATCCTTGATATTCAGTTATTGCATTCATAATCTGGTGAAAAAAATTATACATTTTTAAATGTTGAAGTCTTCTTTTTTATTTTCAGACTTTCCATTTGTGAAAAAGCCCTTGCTGAATATTTAGAAACCAAACGTTTAGCTTTTCCTCGGTTCTATTTTGTTTCATCTGCTGATCTCCTTGACATTCTCTCAAAAGGAGCCCAGCCAAAACAGGTAAGGTTTCTTGCAATAATATTTTAAACATCTCCAAAGAAATATGATAGTGCAAAATGATTAAAATCTTAGCAGAGCTGAAATGATTGATTTCCTTAATTCTGTGCTCTTTCTTTAATTTAGGTGACCTGCCATCTTATTAAACTTTTTGACAATACTGCTGATCTTAAATTTCAAGACAACAATGAGAAATCCAGGAATACTGCATTAGGGATGTACAGCAAAGAAAAGGAATATGTCCCATTTAATGCAGAACTTGAGTGTGTCGGTCAGGTATGGACTCTTTTTTTCAAAAACTAAAGTGTAGGGTTTTTCTTTCCTTTATTTGCTAAAATGAAAAGAAAGCAAAATGTTATCCTTTTAGCACAGAGCTAATCTATAACATTAACCTACTTCCTAGCAAACAGGCAAAATTCTACCTACATTATAGATAAAATTTTCGAAACTGCCTTATCTACCTCTTAACTTTGATTATATTGTAATATATTGGATGTTCATGTTACACAGGGAGAATCAAAAGGCATGCTATATTTTAATACTTTGAGGAATTCAGAACACGTTTAGTTGCATTGGTTGTCTGGAAAATTAACAGTGCAATCTTAAACAGAGTTATACCCTTCTAAATCAACTGACAATTGGCTTAGAAGGGTGTACCTTTGTTTAGGATGGCATTGTAAATATGGCAATGAGCTATCAAAATATGTATGTCCTATGTAATTGAGTATAATAGCTCTCAGAATAAAGGTAATCATAGACCACTAGCATGATCATAATATATGATCAATATTTAAATCACAGCTTACCTCTCAGGGGAGTGGATTTTGTAGCTAATTGACTGGCTAGAGCTCTAGAATGTTCTGTATCTGCTTATGTGCAAGTGCATGAAAAAGGTAAACAGCATCATTGGACAGCAGCTGTTCTTGATATCTTGATCTCTTATGCTGTAAGAGATTAGAATAGGTAACAATGAAGTATTTTTATTGAATAAACTCTAGTTGTGTATCATTTTCTCAAGCTTAAAAGTACTGAATATTTTGAAAGATTTGTGTAGAATAAGGTGAAAATGGATTATTTATAGACTAAATAGATGCATAGACTTAAATGGATACTGATACTGGAGACCTAGGATCATAAGCACAGGTATCTGACTCAGAATCTTGAATACGATCATATATGTTTCTTTGTTCATCCTCTGAGTCCACTTGTGTTATCTTATAGAATCATAGAATCACAGAATCATACAGTTGGAAGGGGCCATACAGACCATCTAGTCCAACCCCCTGCCCAATGCAGGACCAGCCTAAAGCATCTCTGACAAATATTCGTCCACCCTCTTTTTGAAAGCTGTCAGTGAAGGGGAGCTAACTACCTTCCTAGGCAGCTGATTCCACCTTTGAACCATTCTGACCATGAAAACGTTTTTCCTAATATCCAGCCAATACCTTTCTGCATGTAATTTAAACCCGTTGCTTCGGGTCCTATCCTCTGCTGCCAACTGGAACAGCTCCTTGCCCTCCTCCAAATGGCATCCTTTCACATATTTAAAGATAGCAATCATGTCCCCCCTCAATCTCCTCTTCTCCATACTAAACATTCCCAGGGCCCTTAGCCTTTCCTTGTAGGGCTCAGTCTTTTACCATTTTGTACTACCTAAGAGCCAGACTAGATGTTACAGTGGCCACGGGTCCATCCTGCAACCACTGACACCACTTTAGAGAGGAATTTGACCATTTATAAATGCTGCAAGAGTCTGATCCTGATTGGACCCATGCTGCAGCTGGACCTGGCATTCTTGTTTCTTTGCAAATTCATTGAAGGTCCATTGAAGTCAGTGAGCTTGTAAGGGTATAACTCTGCTTAGGGCTGCACTGTGGATTACTATAGAAACTAGGGATGGGCACAACTGAACATGAAGTAAAATTTGTCATAAATTTTGCCCTGTTTGTGGTTCGTGAACAAAAGTTTGTGGTCGGTTCACTGTCACAAACTTTTGAAGCAGTGGTGGTTCATGGACAAAGCAGAAAGCAAGGATTTAAAGGGACTCTTTCTGAGTCCCTCTAAACCCCTGTTTCTATTCCCAGGGAAAGCCACAAAAACAGCTGAGCAGTGGGGAGACATTCCCTGCCACTCAGCTGTCTCAGGCTGTCCTGTGCTGTCTCTTTAAACTAAAGTTTAAAGCTGTCCCTTTAAACGGCATAAGACAGCTCAGAAAACAGCTGAGCCAGCGGGCAGCTTGACGTTGGGCTGGACTTCTCCCCATGGGCTCAGCTCTATTGGGCTTTCTTGTGCAGCCCTTTTAAATGGGGTGCACAAGAGAGCCCGAGGCTGGGCTGGCAGGGAGACTTCTCTCCATGGCTCAGCTCTATGGGGCTCCCTTCGGCAGCCCCTTTAAATGGGGCCACACAAGAGAACCCAAAGCTGGTCTGGCAGGGAGACTTCTCCCCATGGGTTCAGCTCTATTGGGCTCCCTTGGTGCAGCCCCTTTAAATGGGGCTGCACAATAGAGCTGGAACCTGGGCCAGAAGAGAGACTCTTCCCCATGGGCTCAGCTGTTTTTTGGACTTTCTTCTGCAGTCCTTTTAAAGTTTAAAGGGACTGCACAGAACAGCCCAAAACAGCGGAGTGGCAGGGAGGAAGCACCTCCCCATTGGTCAGCTGTTTTTGGCCCTTCTGCAAACCCAATTTAAATGGCCTGTGGTGCCTTTCAACAGGGTTTGGGGAACCACAAACCGGTTCAGTTCAGGAACAGGCTTCCTGGTTTGTTTCAGTCCTTGGTGTGGTTTGTGGTGGTTTGGCTCGTGGATTGGCCACGAACTGAACCACATTTTCCTGGTTCATGCCCATCCCTATTAGAAACAAATGGTGCTTGTGGAGTGAGTGAGACAAAAGAACTTGTTAATTAAAAGCATATACTTCTTGGGATGGTCTCCACTGAAGGATTTTTTCAATTGTTTCACATTCTTCTCAGATACAAAGCATAGTGTGTTTGTTTGATTATCCCAAAAGGTGGAAACATGGTTAAAACGTCTTGAAGAAACCATGTGTGAAACAGTACGTCATCACATCACCGAAGCTGTTGGTCTGTATGAGGAAAAGCCCAGAGAACAGTGGATTTTTGACTATCCAGCTCAAGTAGCACTCACTGGCTCTCAAATCTGGTGGACTACAGATGTGGGAATAGCATTCAGCAGGCTGGAAGAAGGATATGAAACAGCTTTGAAAGATTATAATAAAAAACAGGTATTGATTTCTTTCTTAGCAATATAATACCTAAACACATGTAAAATAGGGCTAGTTTACAGTCAGCAGAATCAGGTGGCAAACTTCTCCTGGACCTCTGTGTATGTGTGTGTGTTTTGCTTACATGAGTTCTCTTCTCTCATACCCCCCGTGCACATGTTAAAAATGCCATGTCAAAAGAAAGCCAGGCTATATTCTTCATTTCTGTTGACACATTAGTTTGTGTGTGTTTGTGCTGATGGGGGGAAATAGGGGAATATTCAGTGTGTGAAGTGACACAGTCCAGGAAAAAGATTTATCGCTCAGACCAAAACTGCAATGCTTTTTGTTCAACAGTGTTGTCATCCAGGGATTAAGGAGTCATTCTATTCTAGACTGGTTTGCACTCTCCCTGGAAGAGTGACTCTGAGGCTTGGGATACTGGGTCCACGTCTGTAGATAGAAGTCTGGTTTCCAGTGTAGTACCTTTGCCCTGCTTGGGTTTGGTGTGCCAGCTGTGGTGTTTCTTGGAGAATCAGGATGTAGTCATGGTGATCCATTGTTTAACACATTCCAGTGTGCAGTATTGCAGTGTGCTTCACATAAGGTTGCCTTTGAAAGTAGTTTGGAAGCTTCAGTTGGTAAAAAAAATTAGCAAGGCTACTGACAGCCTAGTACTAATCACTTTGCTCACGTAGTCTTAGTTTTAAAAGAGGTTGCCTATTTGCTTTCATTAACCATTTCGAGAACCATTGCTGGTCATAACCTTTAAATCTCTGGAAAAAACCACCCTGAGAATTATGTTTTTCAGATGACCCTCTGTTTGCATATTTTTTCAGCAGCATTGGATTTGGCTTTGATGAGTTAAATCATATGGGGATAATAGGTTAACCCCACCCCCAGCATGATTTCATTGAAGGGTTAAAAAATTGACTATGGGCCTTCCATAGGTAGTTTGTTAGTATGTTAAGTAACATCCTGTCAGGCTTGTATTTGTTACTCACTTTATCTTTAATAAAATAAGCAGACTTTTTGCGTGTTCCTAGATAAGATTGTTTCAGTCTGTGCATGTAGAATAGCCCATATGTAATTCTTCATAGTTTTTCAGTAGAAGAACAAAGAGTAGAAAGGGTTACAATATCAGTAAGACTTTCTAACAGACTCTTGTTTTTGAGCTTACTGTTTGCTGTATTGTGAAATTGGAAGAGCAGTTGAAATAATTTCCTATATGAAGTAAACCAATGGTAATGAATGGTTTCAGGAGTACTGTATTGGACTTTAGTTCAATAAAATTATTTTTTCTCATGCTTTTTTTAGATTGCTCAGCTAAATGCTCTTATCTGTCTCTTGTTGGGAGAGCTCACATCCAGTGACAGACAGAAGATTATGACTATATGTACAATAGATGTTCATGCAAGGGATGTGGTGGCAAAGCTTGTTGCTCAAAAGGTAAATTTAAACCTATGTCTCAACTTCCATGCTGGTGCGAGACCTCATGCCGCTTTACTAGTGTATTTGTTGTCGTTTAGGGTTTTTTTCCAGATTGAGGCTGCCATCCTAAATATGGAAGTCAGTTAGTTTCTAGTAATTAAATGTTAATTTCAGACTCTTGGATTGTATATGAAGGGTACTTCCAGTATGCTGAAAAAATTGAAAAAGTCCTGAGGGGAAAAAATTCAATTTTTTCTAGGTTTTCCCTGGACTTCACCTCTCTCTAAGACAAAGTATAAGATTTTTATGCAACAAGTGTTTATCTTTGCTTGAAATAAAAACAATTAAGGATGACTACTGTAAAACCATTGGGATATTTATTAAATGCCCAAGTTTATCTACATGAGTTTATATAATTGTTCTGTCCTAAAACATAAATACACCTGTTTTGGTTTACTAACTTTCTTCACAATATAGCTGGTTTATATAATAAATCAAAAAACCACAACACTGGAGAGTAATCACTGGTACCACACCAAATAGGTATCTGAGAACTTTCATTTAAAAATTAGTGCTGTTCTATCTGCCCTTTAGGCATTTGACAATGCTCACTTCTCATATAAAATGTAAAATGCTGCGAGTGTAATTTCAACACCGTGCTTAAGCATGGATTGGCATAGAGGGATTAAAAGCATAGGCACAGGAATGCAGTAAAACAGGAAGCTAGGTAAGAATACAAGCCAGGGACCTACGAGACTTGTGGGGAAGAGAATCTATTTCACCACTTTTTTCTGCCCCTCTTCTGCTTTTTGATTCTTTATCATGCCCCCTCACCATTTTGTACTGCTTTTTTCACCCCTCCTTACCAATGTTCCCTCTAAGCTGTGGAGTCTTGTGAGCAAAAATTCTAGTCTGTGAGCCACTGGCATTAAAATTGTGAGCAAGCGATTTGGCTACTGCATAAATTAGTTTGCTCTGGAGCCATCCTTCCTGAGCTAGAACAAAAATCTGTTTGCCGGAGGCTAAAAAACTGTGAGCTAGCTCACATTAACTCAGCTTAGAAGGAACATTGCTTCTTACAGCTTTCACATCTTTCTCCCCTGAAATTTGTACCTTTCTATGTCTTTGCAAGTCAGAAGCCTCCAGTCTTGCTGGTGTTGCTATGCAACCCCCTCTATGCTATCTGTGATCTTGTGAGATTTTTGTGAACTCCCTGACAAGATTTTAAACTCCCCTCACCGTTTTTTTAAACTTTGCAGAGTTTTGTGCAAACCTGAGTGCTATTCCAAGGTTTTTTTGAAAAATCTGCCCTATCTGAACATTGAGCATAGATAGTGTGCAGATTTTTTGATCTACGCTATAGGGTCATTGTTCAACATTAGATGTATTGATATTAGATAGATATGTTGTCACATGAAGATCTAACAATCTAATTCTGAAAGAACCAAAATCTATCCACCAAGCAAATTTTGTCTCTAGAATGTAAAAATGACAAGGCTTATTTTTTGCATATGTCCCACAGCCCTATTCACAGTCTAGAAGGTTGGCGACCAGCTTCCATTATGCTCAAACACAGAACAACAACAACAAAAAAGCATATATCTAGAAATCTAGCCCATTACATTGACTCAAGCAGGATCTTCAAATCTGAATAATTTATTTATTTATGTATTTATTTTCATTGCACTTATACCCTGCCCTTCCCGCGAACGGGCTTAGGGCGGCTTACAAGAGCACAAAGTGCATATATATAGTATACAATATATAAATGAATAAAAACAGTTAAAATTGAACCAGGGACCCTCCCTTTAATAAGGAAAGCCTTTGAGAAGCAGGAAGTTTCCATCCCATCTGAAGAAGGGCATGCAAAAAGTTAGTTTGGGAGGGGTAAATTATGGACATGAATGATGTTATAAGCTAGTTCAGCATAGCAGTAGAAGAATAATATTTCAAATTAGCCTGATACCTGTGCTTTGCAATGTTATTTAAGTTCCATAAATCCAGTTATAATACCGATGATGTGAAGTTTGAAATGTAACATTTGTTGTAGGAATTCTAATGGAGAAGATTGTAGTGTAAAAAATGAAGTGAGACATACATACTGATTTTTTTTCTACTGAAGGACCTCTCTGTAGAACACATTGGTGGTTCTGCCCTCAGGTGCTAGGATCACCATGCAGTTTGGTGAGCTTACTCTGGATCAGGCCACATAGATCTGTCCATATAAGAAGCAGACATCTGTTAAGTCAATTCCTGCCACCTTCAGTGTCTGGCCTTGGGACTTGTTGATGGGGGGGGGTTGTGTTTAAAGGCATTGGGGAGGCTGGGCCAACAGCAGCACGAATGCAATCCTGCTAAGCAAGCCTCCTCGAGGGCTTTAAGAGCTCTGTGCCCCTTACAACCCTTGACAGGTGGCTGTCTGTCAGGTGTAGGAAGGGTAGCGTGTCTGAAGGCATTGGGGAGGCTAGACGAGCAAGATTGCTAATGCGATGCTGCTTGGGCAGCCTCCCCGATTGCTTTCAATGCTCTGCCCCTGCTCCTGCACTGCCTGTCAGGTAGGGAAGGGGTGGGTGGGAGTGTGTCTAAAGCCATTGGGGAGGCTGATCCAGCAGCATTGCTAAGGTGTTTCTGCTTGGGTGGCCTCCATGATGGATTAAAGTACCTGGTCCTGTGCCTACACCTGACAGACACCCACCTGCCTAGTGTTGGGGGGAGTATGTTTAAAGGCATCAGGGAGGCTGGGCCAGGAGCAGTGCTAAGGCAATCCTGCTGAGCAAGCCTTCCCAATAGCTGTAAGCATCCCACTCCCTCTCCTACACCTGACAGGCAGTCTGTCAGGTGTAGGAGGTGGGGGGGAGCATGTTTGAAGCCATTGGGGAAGATGGGTCAGCAGCATTGCTGCACCTCACAGGTGGTTGGCCATTCCAGATTTCCTCAACTGTCAGTAGCTCTCTGTAGTCTCCTGTAACTGGGTTTTTTTTAACCTCAGAACACTGAACTCTGCAGTTGATCAGTCAGAGAGTGGGGGCTGCCAGGAGGCAGCAGCCTGGCAGCCACGTAGGAAGCAATTGTGGGGGCACATTTTATCCCCTTAGGGGTCGAATTTCCAAAAATTCTTTCTTAGTAAGCATCTATGCCATGGTAGGAGTGGCTTTAACATAGTTAACGTGTCTCCAGCAATAACCCCTCTCTAGTGATTGCCTGTGATCAAGTTGTTTGACAGCAAGGTGATCCCCAGCTTACCATATGGGATTGAAATATGGGGCTGGGGAGAGCAGATTCTGGATCTATTGGAAACCATTCAAAACAATTTTATGAAACAGATCCTGGTGTTGCCTAAGGGCTCTCCTGTGGCTTTAATGCGGGCTGAGCTTGGTATCCCATCCTTGAAAGCCAGGGCTAATCTTAGAGTCCTGTTTTATTGGAAGAAAGGCCTAGAACATTCTCAGGATTCATTTAGAAGTAAAAGTTTTTACTCTCTCCTAAAACTTGTCGAGACCTACAAGGAACATCTGGGCCTTATACAATCAAAGTACGTTATCCCAAATGATCTGTTAACAGCTAACAGTTCCAGGCAGGAGTTGAGGGAATGGGTATTTAACATGGATGGGAAATTAGATAGTAATACAATCAGTCAATCTAGAGTGGCCCCTTTCTTCAAATTATTTTAAAAAAACAATACCAGGTCATCTTACCTAAAGACTTTAACAACAATGAAATTAAGGTTGGCCTTTACCAACTTACGATTTCAAGCTATGCCCTCTATGGTTCGCCCCGGCCGATTTCTAAGGGTCCCTACCCCTTTACAACTTTGTATTTGTGGCACTGGAGAAGTAGATGATTTGACCCATTACATTTTGAGATGTCCTCTTCTCTTGCCCCCTCAAAATAAATTTATCACTAGTATCTTATCTCTGCATGAAGGAGTTTCAGATATGGACAAAGTTGTATTTTTGCTTGCAGATAAAGATCCGTATGTTTCTAACAGAGTCGCTTTGTTTGCATTGGTGGCTACATCGATTAGATCGAACTGTATGGAAATGACCACGACCTAATTTGGCTCTGTATTTATACGACCTTGTTGGATATTAATTTAATTTGCATTTACCTTGGGGTTTTATCATGTGGGATTTTATGCATTTTTTTGGTATTGTTATAACCTATGGTCAACACAATAAATTACTACTACTACGTCTACTACTACTACTACTAATGGTAGGAGTGCTCTTCCCGAATTTCATGTTTCTAGGCCCAGAGGTTTGGCCTGGGTGTTGATTTTACAGTGAGGGAATTTTCTTTTATATATATAGATATGGAATTCCAAAGTGTATAATGACTGTGGCCCACCCACCCTGACTAGAAGGAATTATAAAATTCCTCTAAAGCACTTGTGGGTCAACTAACTAGGCAGGAAGATGGGGAGAGAAAGTTGGGATCTTCTTCGTGGTCTCTGTGCTTCACACCAATGGGATCTAGTGCGCCTGCGCTGGATTGATCGGTGCTGTAGCAAGCTCTTTTCAACGGATTTTCACGCCCATTCCCTCAGGCAAGCGCAGGAACCCCACTGCGCATGCCCAGAGGGGTGGGCGTGGACATCCCGCCAGTTCTTTCCTTACCACCGCGCTGAGAGGACCGTTTTCCAGTCGGTCTGCTTGGATCACTGTTCCCTCGTTGTTTAGTGCTTAACTAACTAGGCAGGAAGATGGGGAGAGAAAGTTGGGTTCTTGTGACCACAAAAGAAGAAAAGAAATACATATAACCATTAGGCTGAATCCAAAGTCATGTTTTGTAATTATTTTAAAGAATTGGAAGCTTGTTATATGGATTTATCTCACCTTTAGCAATCAGGCCAATATTGGATTGCTTTCTTCATAATTCCATAAATCAACACCAATAATAAGTTCCACATGTGAATGTATAAAGATTCTAAAGACACAAAAGACCTACAATCAACCCAAAAATCAGAAAAGCCAAATGTTGGGGGGGGCGGAGTTAAATATTTGAAGATATGTGTTACTACTGCATGTGATGATCTGTAACCTGGGGGATTAATTCAGTGCTGGAGTTAGAAGAGGGATAGAACAGAACATCTTTGATTCCTTTCCATACCATAGCAGGGCCATAGCCAGGATTTTGTGGCTTGTGGGGCAATTTTTTTTTTCTGGTGGGGCTGAAGTTAGTGCAGAAAGAAAAGCCACAATTCTGAGGATTATGACTCAGCTACTGTGGAATCAAGCCTTTTAAAATCAAAGCATAGAGGCTTCTGCAAATCTTAGTCCCAGAGTGTGACAATAGCAGTCTCTTCTCTGTCTGAATCTTCTCAAGCTGTCTGTTCTACATAGGTGTTCTTAACCATTTAGCCAATAGAAAGCTGTTACCAGGATAGATCTCTAAATTGCAAGCTGTCAGCCTCTTTAGATGACAGTTCTCAGCTGTTGCAAGTTAATCACTTTTGCCAGCCTAAGCAACATAACAAGCCAGCAGGTGGAGGTGATGACTTCTATAGTCAAGAAAGCTAACACTTAGGCAGAAAAAGTTTCTTAAAGGAGACCAGTTTCCTGACACAGAGTTAAAAGGGATCCTTGCTCAGTGCAGGAATTAGTCAACTATAGAGATGTGAAGGCCTGGAAAAAAACCGGAAAAATTCGGGGGAAAAATGGTTTTTTCCCGTTTTTTTCCTGAAGCCGTTTTGTTTTTTTCCGAAAAATTGAAAAAAGAAAAGAAAAGAAATTGATTATGGAATGTTTTATTTTAACATGATGAATAAAATATTTTAAGACCAGGTGTTCAAATATTTTCCAAATCATTTCTAATATATATATGGTATCAGATTGATGTAATTTCTGTGCACTTAGGACAAGCAAGTCCTAGGTTACAAACTGAACTCTCCAATGCAAGAACAAAATGCATTTCTTCCTTTAGGAGGTACAATTGTCAGAAGAAAATAGTTTCAGTTTTGTTTTTGCATGTGGGTGGGTATTCTGTAATAATTGTTTGGATACACTATATTTTTAATATGCTAGTTGTGATAATTTCATGCCAAGTAAAAATGTCCATAGTCATATTTTATGTTCCTAAAGTAAAAGAATGACTTTCAAACTAGAAAAGACAAAAGAAATGCTAATGTAGCATTTTTTTCAATTTTTCTGAAAATTTCCATTTCCCCCCTGAAAAAAACAAGGTTTTTTCCGAGCTTCAAAATTTCCGGAAATTTTACATCTCTAGTCAACTACAGACCCCATTCTGCTTAAAGGAGCACATGCCTTTAAAAATGTTTTGAAATGATTGAACAAAGCATTCGCAGGAGAAATTTTTTTGGGAGGGTGCCTTTAAGAAAGGAGGGGCGGAGCCCCCAAAAGCCCCATTGTAGCTACAGGCCTGATACACAGGGAATTTCATATATAACCTAACCAAATTTGGAATTTCCTCACAAATCCAAGTCTGGATAAATTCAAGTCTGGCAGGGATGTGTTCAACTCTCCCATGTCTTGGCTCAGCTAGGTGGAAGAAGGCTCTGCTTCCCTCAGAAACTTGTACTTTCATGGAACTTTACACACACCCATTAGGTGTCTGCATCCCTTAATGGAGGGCCACCCTGCAATTTGCAAACCACTCTGTTACCTACTCTGAAGTCTGAGGGGGCTTTCTCAACTTTAGTCAAGGCAACAAAAAGTTAAGTGGGAATGAAGAGTTCTTGGAATTAGAATTCTAAGGTTTATGAGCAATGCAGGTGTGGTCATTTGTGTGATACAAAGAAGTTGAATGGCTTTGGAGCCACTGAGGAAAAAGTCTTGCAAGCGAATATTACATCACCTACGTATAACAATAAAGGGATCTGATCCCACTGATTCCACTTCCCACTGGTATTAAGGACAGGACCAACATTTGTATGAAGCAAATGAGACATCAAAGATATAATTGTTTTGTGAAGCCCAGGGGATGTAATTAAAAAGAAATAATGAAATAAAATGCATGATGCTGGAAGACACATATAAAATTGTATCATATCAAATATGTGGCATTTGTTTCTTGTAAAAGAACAGAGTAAGATCTTGGCAAATGGAGTTGTAATGTATGTTGCAACAAAAAAGCCCATTTAAAAAGATTTGACATTACACTTTTTTCTGGTGTACAGATGCCCAGAAGTGAGTTTAATTCCTTATAATTGCTTGTGGGAGTTATTGCTTGTGAAAAACCAGGAATGAGACATGAAAGCTAGTGATGACAGCTGAGGCATTTGGGTATGTTAAGTTTCTTTTAACTGTATAACGTAACAGTTATGAAATGTTTTTGGGTCTTTTAGATCACTAGTTCCCAAGCTTTTGCTTGGCTATCGCAGCTACGCCATAGATGGGATGGGGTCCAGAAACATTGCTTTGCCAACATATGTGATGCTCAGTTCCAGTACTACTATGAGTACCTGGGAAATACCCCTCGGCTAGTTATTACACCTTTGACTGACAGGTAATGTCTGTTCTGCTAATGGTGAACTATCTCTGCTTGATCCATCTTGTAGAATGCAAGGTTAAACATTAAATCTTATCTAAAAATGTTTATATCACAAATGACATTTTGTAGTGAGAGTGAATCAGTGTTCTGGAATATAAAATACTCTTTATAATCTGCATAGTCTGCAGCTCATAGCATAACAAGTATGGATAGTTGGGTTTGTCTGCAAGTGCTCACCTTACTCGAAGATTTTGAAAGGAGGGAATAGGAAGGAACGGAAAGACCCTGTTTCTGGAAATAGTTGGATGCAATAAGGATTTATTTTCTTTTTTTCCTTCTTTTTTGGGTTGATTTTTCATCCATTGATATGGAAACATAGCTTTCTATTGCTTTAAAGGGCAATTGAATAACTATTTGAGTATTGAGCCAAGCTGTTGATTTCAAAATATAAAGTTTCCACTTCTGTAAGAGGAACTCAGAAGAGTTGATCCAGGACGTATAAAATGGAATATAAGTGAAATTACGTAAATGATCTTATGCTGCCACTGTAGTTGATGCTGCATCAACCATTACACAAGGCAGAATTCAGCTGTAAATTGCATGCCTTTTACTCAGCAAACAACCCTCTAGTTTCCCTTACTACAAAGGTTTGTGAGTATTGGCTAGTCCATGATGTTGCTGATGTGCCATCTCAGTGGTTAGAATCAGATCATAGTGCTGGAAGAAAGAAATGAGATGTGCTTATGTCAGCACTCAGATCCTTGTGCTAGATCCTATGTTCTGGTGCATTGGTGTAAAAGACCATAATTTTTTTCAAAACCATGCTGTAAAAGATATGATTCACTGAGCCACAAAATGGAGCTAGGTACAGTCCAGAGAAATTTCTCTAAAAATTTGAAGGAAGTCCCATGATTGCAGAGAAATCTGAAATTAAAGCCCATAATAACTGAAACACCTGTTGCTTTAAGAGCGTAATGTCCACTAAATTCTGTGGCTTTTTGCAGTTGCTAGGCAACCACAACAATGCTTCCAGATCTTGGTTTCTCTAAAGCAAAGCTGTGAAAGGAGAGCAGGAGTGGACTGGGTGACCAAAGCAGCCCCCACCCCTAACTGACATGTCCCCTCATGAGCAATCAATCAATAAACCTTTAATGGCATATACAACATTAAAATCAGAGACAGAAAATGACACAATCAACTAAGAATCTAAGTTAATTATAAAATTATAAAATGGAGTTTCCCAAGTTTTTCACCCTTATCACGTCAACTAAAAAATTGGCCACTGCCACAGTAATTTCTGCTGTTATATCGTTCAATAGAAATTGGCATTTTATTTCATTGGAAAGGTGATGTTTACCATGCAACCAAGTGTTTAACCATTTTTCCCTAGCAGATACATGCCACGAACAGTCTAACAATATGTGATCAATTGAATCAAGAGAGTTAGAACTGCAGTCACATCTCCGTTCATGCTTAGGAATATTTTGAAACCTACCATACAGTAGTTTTGATGGAAAGACATTTACTCGAGCAAGAGAGAACGCTCTTCGATGGCTAGGGCTATCAAGGTTATACAAATACTGGGGAATACATCACACAACATTCTTAAGATTTAATGTGGCTGAAGAACAGACAGGGGGATGAAGGGGCTGCAGTTTTTGAAGTTCAATATCTTAACAGCCTCTGTTTGATTGTTTGGAAGATATACACTTCAGAGGAAAAAGCTAGCTCCTCCAAGGAGAGGCCCAAAGATCTTATTTTGGTTCGAATATTATAATCCCAAGAGGTATTATGAATTTCCTTTAACAGAAAAGACAAAAGCGAACCATCTTCAATGTTAAAATATAATTTAAGCCAATAACGGACCGTTAACACCCATGTCTTGGTTTCAATCAAATTAAGTCCTAATTCAGAGCACAATGCATGGTAAGAGACACAGTTTGGGAAACCCATAATTTGTCTAAAAAAGGATGATTGTATTGATTCAACTTCACAGTTAAAAGCACTGAACCATATAGGCACACCATAGAGAACGTGGGGTAAAATTTTAGAATTAAAAACTTTAATGGCAGCAGGCACAAATTGGTTTCCTTTGGAGAAAAAGAAAGATTTTAATTGGTTGGAAGATAATTTCCGCAAACTAATAGACCTTCTCCTGTGAGTTGCCCATTGGAGATTAAAACTGAATGTAAGACCCAAATATTTATAACTCTTAACTTGCTGGATTTTCGCCTTACCAATATACCAGCTAAGGGGGACCCATTTTTTAGAAAAAAACATTACTTTGGATTTAGAATAGTTAATTTGAAGTTGATTGTCACTACAGTACTTCTCAAAAGCCCTCAGATATCGCTGTAGACCTACTTTGGTAACAGAAATAATTGCTGTATCATCAGGTTGTGAGGGCGATCTGGCTGCGACATCTGTCACCCCATTGCTGTATCATCAGCATATAAAAGGAGAGGCACTGCTCTGCCCCCTAATCTGGGTGGATGGCCATTCACCGAATCCAGCGCACCAGACAAATAAAAGAGAAATAGGTTGAAAAGAAGGGGAGCCAAAACACACCCTTGTTTTACTCCTTTGTTGGTTGGAATTTTATCTGTAAGGGAACCGTTTGAAGAGAATTTAACCTGGCAATTGGTTGGAAGATCCTCATGAGCAACATGCTCAGTGTTGACTGCTGGAAACTCACTACCCACACAACTGGGCCTGGCAGTCACTGTCACCATGCCATTGAGTTTGGCTTGTCATTGCTGCATCACTAGACCCAGCTCAGTGCTGGAAGTTGCTGCACAACTCAGGCACACTTTTCCTGGGAAGAGGCTTCCAGGATTAAGGAATGAGGGAAAGCCAAAGCCAGTGGGGTAGATAAAGGTAGGTTGGCTGTTGGGTGGGAAGGAGAGAAGCAAAAAGGAAAAAGGAGAGAGGCTATGGGGCATGTCATAGAAGGAAAAGAAGAAATAGGGAGGGAGATACATGGGGAAATGATATACCTTCCACAAGTCCTTGTGAATCCCCAATTTGTAACTTTATGAGGGGGAAGGGAAAGAAGAGTGGTAGGGAAGGAAAACAATGTACCTAGGATACATTGCTACAGATACGATTTATAGGGTTGTCAACTTCCAGGTGGGGCCTGGAGATCTTCTGGAATCAAAACTGATCTTCATTCTACAGAGCTCAGTTCGCCTGGAGAAATAGGGTGCTTTGGAGAGGGGACTCTATGGCATTATACCCTGTTGTGGTCCCTCCCCTCCCCAAACCCAACCCTCCTCAAGCTCCACCCCCAAATCTCTGGGAATTTCCCAACCCAGAGCTGGCAACCCTATAAGTGATTAATCAAGACTGAAATGTGTTTATTCTTGTTTCATTTTTTTTTAATTGCACAAGTTAGAAACTAAAGTTTAGTGGCAGTTGATCAAGTACACATTTATTATACTTTTTGGTTTTGAAATGGCAACCATTAAGAAATGTCAGCCATTAGAGGAAGATTATATTAATATGTTTTTGGTCCTTTGCATTGCTTGAAGGTGCTACATTACTCTGACACAATCTCTTCACTTGACAATGAGTGGGGCTCCTGCAGGTCCAGCTGGGACAGGGAAAACGGAGACCACCAAAGATTTGGGCCATGCCCTTGGGATGATGGTCTATGTCTTCAACTGTTCAGAACAGATGGATTACAAGGTGCTGTATATTCTGTATTTTGCATTATGAAGAGCAGATTGTGCATGGTGGGAGGACTATGCATTAGTGGAAGGGGATGTTCTCCCTGCCTTGAGCTACCTAATGTTGGTGGAGGTTGGACCACCCATTGTTAATGGGCAGATTTTTACTTTTACTACAGTTTGCAGTGGAATCCTAAACCAGGTCACACTCTTCTAAAACCAATGACTTTAATGGATTTAGGACCGTGACTCTACTTTGGATTGCACTGATTGTCCCTAACTTGTGGTACTTTTCACTTTTCTACCCATTTATATTCAAGAAAGTAAAGGGGTGGACTCATGAATAGTCAAGTATGAATAGTGGTTAAAGTCTCAGACTAGGATCTGGGAGACCCTGGTTTGAATCCCACTCTGCCATGGAAGCTTGTTGGGTGATCTTTTGCCAGTCACACCCTCTCAGTCGATCCTACCTCACAGGGTTGTTATGAGACTAAAATGGATGAGAGGAGAACTATGTAAGCCTCTGAGTCACCATTGGGGAGGAAAGGTAGGTCATAAATGAAGTAAATAAATAAATGGAAGTAAATTAAACCCTCCTGGTCCCCCTGAATTGTGTCCTTAATTATCATGTTTGTTTTGTCCCATAAAACTTAATGGTTAACCACTAAGAAATCATCAATCTCCTATATGCATAGTTCACTCTCCTTTTTTGTATAGCCCCACTCTGAGTTCTATTTTTCGCTGTGCTAACGTAGTATAGAACTCAGCAACTAGTTTATAGATAATATAATAGTGCAGAAATGTGGTACTTACTGCTGTACATATGTTGCAGGAAAAAGCTTCCTTTAAAGGCAAAAGAAAACCTGTGAAGTCTAAGTATATTTTCCTTACAGTCCATAGGAAACATCTATAAAGGTTTAGTCCAGACAGGAGCTTGGGGATGCTTTGATGAATTTAACCGAATTTCTGTTGAAGTTCTTTCAGTTGTGGCAGTACAAGTAAAGACTATCCATGATGCAATAAGAAATAAGAAAAAGGAGTGAGTATTTCCCACCAATTTCTTGGTATATTGTTTGTGGAATATTGTTTATGGAATTAAACATTATGTAAAGATAAGGAAGCATATTGAACAACTTGTGCTACAATGCTTTTGTGATTGAATGTGTGTGTATACATACCGAGAGATGTATAGAGACATATATTTACTTTTAACCTTGTATATTACATATATGTTATGGCACTGACTGTTTGACTAACCAAAGGCATTTATTGACTCTTACTGAACTCTACTTAAAACAGTTGTTCACATCCTACCACTCTACTTAACAAAGTTGGAAGCCTTCTGTACAGGATTAGCCCACCCAGGCCAGTCCAGGGATGGGAGGGAATCCTGTACTTTTCAGTACATTAAACAACAAGCCATGAGACAGTCTGTACCATCTCTGGTCTTCACAACAATTTGCCACCAGAACCTCTTTTCACTAGTCCCTGCCTTTCCTAAGGGAGAGATTCCAATCCTTAGTTAGCATCTGGGATTTAACACAGTAGCAACTCTATCCAGAGATGCACACTCTTACCAAGGTAGCATATGTGGTCAGGGTTAGGCACAAGATTTAGACTTGGAATTCAGTTACAACACCAGGGACAAATTAGCAATAAGTAGGATCTTTATTCAGTACAGAGCTTAGCATAGACTACCAGAGATTACAAAAATAACAAAGGCTAGGGCAATTTGCCTTAACTGCACAGTTGCCACATCAGGAACATCCACAGTCCAGAATTCTCCAAGGGATTTTGAAGGGAAATCCCATTTTTGCACCCCATGTGCTCCAAGTCACCAAGCAACTCTTTGTCTCTCAAGAGGCAGCATTTCAGGTGCAATAAACAGACAATGACAGAGGAGAGAGCAAGAGCAAGAGACTCGAGAACAGGAAGAAGAACTTACTCCCATAGGGATCAAACAATTATACCCCAATTCCAGTCACAAATTAGATGTGACCATCAGCCAATTGCGAGTGGGCATGGGGGTGCCCAATTGTTGGTTGCCATAGCTGCGTGTGGGGATAGGCTATAAGTTTGGGACCCCGCCTGCAGTCATCTGACCCAAACTCTGGCTACTTCATTGTGTATGTGACTTGTTGCATATGGGCCAGAAAGTGTAGCCATGAGGTCTGGCTTTTGGCATGAAAGTGTGAAAGAATGTGGGTTTATGGCATGGCTATTGAGGCCATGTGGCCTCACCATTTGGCTTGCAACAGGAAATAAGACACAGCATGTTATCATAATGTAATCACAGGAGAAGGCATGTGGATATAGAAAGCACTTACAGAGAGATGCCATAATGCTGTTACTTTTAACCTTGTATATTACATATATGTTATGGCACTGACTGTTTGTCTAACCAAAGGCATTTATTGACTCTTACTGAACTCTACTTAAAACAGTTGTTCACATCCTACCACTCTACTTAACAAAGTTGGAAGCCTTCCACCAATCTAGGGAGCCTGTTTCGCAGGAGGACCAGCCCTTCTTCCGGAGGAATGCTCCTTAGTCTGGAAGCAGGCTTCTGACTTAGCTGAGCAGAGTGGTAGGTTACAAGCCAGCATATGTAGGTATAAAGGCATCACATAGTTATAGTAGTGCAAAATGAACACAGAAAAAATGATTATATGATTATAACATGGGGCTCCCTCTCACAATAAGTGGAGAATGTGTCAGCCTCAGTTCTGCTGAGCCCTTGAAGTGACTTCTTCCTGCTCAGCAGAACCTAGTCATGCATAGTGAGGCCAAACTGTACAATATGTTTTTTAACACAACAACTGTGGGGAACATCATTTTAAGTCTTTGGGGGCCTGATTCACTGTGGTGTGGGGAGGAAGGTCTCCTTTTCCACCCTGTGCAGTTTTTCCGAGGAAAAATGGCTTGGGGTGGCGGTTGTGGTATCTGTCCCAATTCGGAGCTGTACGTGAAGTATTCCATGCACATATATTATGGTACTTATTATTTGCCTAGTCAAAGGGGAAACCAGACCTGACCCATTAAAAAACATGCTATTTGACTCTTAGTTCTGTCTTTTTCACAAGGCAGCTCAACCAATCACAGGCAGACCCCCCCCCAACTCTCCATCCAGCTTTTTCTGTGCCTGCTCCATCCCTTCTGTTTATGTTTTCTCAATCATGACAGCAGCTGCCGCATAGCATTCTGTTGTGTCATTCTTCAATTCCTAGGATTCTTGAGACTTTGTTCCTATTTCATAGTGTTAGTTTTGCTCTTCACTTTTCTTGGAGAACCTGGCTTTGAAAAAGGCTCTCATCCCAGAACTAGATTTCTGGAAAGTTCTGTTCAACACAGGCTCTGGAAGAGGCAACTAGAAACAACATTCCAGCCAGGTCTAACAGCCTGTAGGGCTTAGCCAGTTGAACCAGGTAGACCAAGAGGTACAAAACCTCAAGACAAACTGAAGGACAAGCAGATATGATTAGTTTGTGCCTTGGACCTTATTACAAAAAATGTTGTAAATAATACACAAGTGGTTTATTACATCTAACTATGCAGTTTTTCAAAACTATTTTGTGAAGAGCCTCCAACTGTCATAAGATTTTCCTTGGAGAACAACCTTTAGTCACAGAGGGCAAATCCTAGTCACGAGAATTATGATAGGAGTGATCCCTTCCACGATGCATTTTAAGGAGAAAGGGAGCCCAACAGTACAATCCTAAACAGAGTTACACCCTTTTAAGCCCATTGAAGTCAATGGTTTAGAAGGCCAGAACTCCATTTAGGATTGCACTGTCAGTATTCAAATATAAGTCAGACAAGGGAGATCTAATCATCAAATAAATTGTGAAGGATGTGTCCCCTCACTCCTCTATTCAAGTCACCTTCATTTTCTTGTTCCTTTGATGTACTTTGCTTTTTCTAATTTGCCCAACTTCCTTCCTCTCTCTTCATTCTTTTGTTTGCCCTTTCTGCCTGCCTGTTTTTCTTCCTCTTCATTCTCATTTCCCCCTCTCTCTTTTTTCTTCTCTTTCAGTTTTAAAAAGTTGAGGGGCAGGAGGAGAGGTGATATGTCAATATTGCTGCTTGTGCAGTAGAAAAAAGAACTTAGAATAAATCTTGGCCATCAGTCTTTCAGGCACATTTTCCCTCAGAATACCCCCTGCCAGAACAAATCCCCACAGTTTCTCTGTGAATGGACACTGTGGAAGGGAGCTGCTCCTAGAAATTCAAGTACAAAGCCTACTTGGACAGGTAGAATTTGTTGTATGGTTCGTTAGATCCTAGTTATATTAGAGGAAAAATGAATTACATGGAGTTACCGACAAATAAACAAAAGGTAATATTGTACTCAGTGCTTTCCTTAATCATATCATTGATAACAGATTTTTGTTCCTTGGAGAAAATATTACATTGAAGCCATCAGTTGGAATATTTATTACTATGAATCCAGGCTATGCCGGCCGAACAGAATTACCTGAAAATCTTAAAGCTCTTTTCAGGTAAGTATGATACAGATTTGCATTCAGAACACTTATGCCACCTAATGTTGGTTGTTTGGTTTGCAACATAGAACAGAGCTTTTAACATACTGCTTCTGTGAGAAAGCTCTTCAGTTTTATAGTTTTGATAGCTAGTAGGAAGTTGAGGTAGTGAAGTTTTTTATATGTTTGCTAAGTATGTAGTAAGGAGCTGCGGTGGCTCAAGTGGTTAAGACGCTGAACTGCAGGCTGTGGAAGGTCAGTAGTTCAGCGGTTCGGAAGCAAGAAATTGCAAGTAGATAAATAGGTACCACTTCAGTGCGAAAGTAACAGCATTCCGTGCACCTTGGTGTTTAGTCATGCCGGCCACATGACCACGGAAACGTCTTCGGACAGCACTGGCTCTTCGGCTTTGAAACGGAGATGAGCACCGCAACCCTAGAGTTGGACTCGACTGGCTTTCGAGCAAGGGAACTTTTACCTTTTTAAGTATGTAGTAAAAGAGATTAATTACTTTTGAAAGCCTCATCATAATATAAAACATGATGTGTTACTTAGGTAGGATAAAAACCTCAAAGATGATATATCAGTTTGAAGCTCTGCTTAACTCAGGCCTCTTATGCATGGGTGTTTTCCCTTGCTTTCACCATGCATGTCCATCGGGTTGTCAAAAGTCCTTGTCCCTTCCCAGGCTAAGAACTTTTGGTACAAAGGGTAGCAGCAAATCAAAGTTACAAAATACCAAAGAGAGACTAAAACTCACCCCAGTCTTGGTAGGTGCCACCAGTACTTTCAGTCTATCCCAACAGCCCATGAGTGAAGGGACAAGTCTCCCAGCTTCTCAGGGAATTAATAAGAAAAGTCAGCCTTGCAGAGTGGGATGCAAACTGAGTTTCCAAACACAAAACAGTTAGCTGGTGGGTGGTCTGGAAGAAGGCTCTGGAAGAAGGCTTTGAGGTCAATGAAGGCACAATCCACTGCAAGATAAAAATATAGTTATTTATTTAAAGTGCAAAAATTTATTAAAAGAGACAAGACTGTGAAGGGATAAAATAAATAAACCTAAGCATATCCAACATAACTAATGCATATAATCAAGGTTCCAAGTTAACCAATACTGGGTCATCTCAGGCAGTTAGTTCCAAGAATCCAAAGATATCCAAGGGCATAGCCCTTCCAAGCAAGCAGTCAAGATAGATGCCAGTAGCACAAGTGAAGCTGTGTAACCACTGACATGCTTCAGTGCCAAGAGGTTACAAAGCCAGCCATATAGCAAAGGCTAAGTAGATTTATGGAGAGGGCCTCTAATTGACCTCAGGCCTGTTAGGACAATCAGAAACCTGAGAGATGATGTAACTCTCTCTATTGCTAAGCACGTGATGCATCAGGTGATGGACCAGAGAGGGGAGTAATAAAACCATACTGCAGTTAGGACTCACCTCTCTTTCCCACAGGTGCCCATAACTTCAGTTGCTTGGAATGTGCTGATTGGAGGACCAAAGTAAAGTGGTGCTCCCTAGCACTCACAGCTGGAAACAATTTAGCTGGCAAGGTCACTCTGCTCTAACTATCTCTAACCATCCCTGGGAAGATTTCTGTAGGCTTCTTTGCAGCCTGAACCAAAGATTTTATTTCTTAGAGCAAAGCAAAAGACCATTTTTCTTTACATGGGTATTCTTTGTTGTTCTGCATTGATTTTCTCCCTTCAGCACTCAGTTTGCTTTCTGGTAGCTGTTTCCCCAGTTTTTCTGAGAGTGCTTTTGTGCCGATTTCCTCCCTGTTCTGCTTTCAAGCCGAAAGTCATTCAAAACCATACATATTCCCTCAGAATTCCCCCCCCACACCCTTTTGCTGCCTCTCAAAAGTTACTCCCCACCTACCTTAAGGTTGTTCTACACCTTCTGCCACCCTCCCTCTATTTTGGTGTACAAGCTCAATTTTCCCCTCATTTTAAATTTTTAAATTTTTCTTTACAAGTAGCATGAGTTTAGCAATACAAGACTCTTGCTAGTCTCAGATCGCTGAATAAAAATATTTAGAATGGTGGAGGGGGGAGTTTAAAAGGAGCTGTGCGAGGTTTAGTTCCCTGTTGATATTGACATGAAAGGGGGGATCAGAGAGGAGGCAAACGGAAGCATCCCCAGTACAAAAAAAATAAAACTGCCAAGATCACAAGCAGTGTACAGGATCAAATTATAGAATCACAAAGAGAGAAAACCACACAAATCTGCAAGGAAGGGCAGGAAATTAGCGTTACTATACAGCTACACTAGGGCATCAGTGAAAATACCCCCCCCCTTTTCAATTTAGTGTCACAAGACTAAAAAAGCTCTCCAGAGCCTCTGCCAGAGGACTCCTCCCTTATACAAATTGCAGCCATGTGCAAAGTGTGGTGGAATTGCAGTTGACTTTGCACACACACATATGTTGCCAGCATTCACAGCTTGCGATGCCAGAGTCAGTGGGTTCTAGCGTGCATTTTGTATACTCAACATGTTCCCCCATATTATGAGATCGTGTGACTCTTTCCTTTCACAGTGGCTGATAACACAGCAGAGAATCCCCTAGTGCACCATAATATGGAAAATGGGCTTTGCAGCTGCTTGTCAGTTTTTTTAAAAAGTCTTGTCAATATCAACATCAGATTTCCCCTCTTTACCTGCATTCCTTTCTGTTCCCTTTCATTCAACGAATTAACGCTGAAATGCATGTGCAAAACCTGAACCACAAGGATTTAAATGGAAGACCATTGCTGGATGCTACTGCACAGCTGCAATAGGGCAATTACATAATTTTTTAAAAAAACTTTGGACACCACCCCCCACCTGTCACACCTACCCCAATTTAGAAAAGTGAGGGTTTTTTTTATTGTAGCAGCGGAATAAATACACCACAGGACAAAGAATGGTGTGTAAGGCAGGCACAAAATCCAAAGTCAAGATTAAAGGTTTACTGCTCTGAAAATATGCAGTAAGATGTGTGTGTGCCTCAGTTTTGTTCATGCACCAACATTATCCCCTGTTTAAAACATAGCCTTCAAGTGCTTTTACTTGAATTTGATGTTGTCATGCACAAACCACATGAATAAACAAAAGGAAGAAAGTGCTTGGAAATGTTTTTCATGTATACAATATCTTCCATTTCATGCACATTGGAATTATTTCTAAGTCAAATTAAAGGGCCCAATATTTAAATAAATGAATATAGAATATATGTACTGGGAACAAAAAGGGAGGGGCCTTAACCCTGAAACCTGGGAACCAGAATCTAAAAAGGTAAGTCAAACAGAATAGAGGGCCAACAATAAAGACTTAATGTTTATAATATAAAAAAATACATGTATTTATTAGCAAAGAATTAAAAAACATATAAGGGCCCAATCACACCTCATGTAAAATTGCCAAAATCTGACACATAAGGGCCAGTGGACTTGACCTGATGCGTTTTGGCCTGTATATGCGTTCTTCAGAGGTCAAACACAATGGGGACCAATTGGCTTATATCATAATACAATACAATCATACAATTATGAACATGGATACAAGATGGACCAGAAAAAAATTGTTCCAAAGTGAAACCACTAGGCACAGAATAAAAGTATAAATGAGGCCTACAAAGATGCAGTCACATGCCAAATGATATTTCACTGATACTAATTTTTGGTCCAGAAAGTGCCTTCCAATGATTGCTTACCCAAAGTGTCCTCAGTTGTTTGACTTACCTTTACCTCTATTCTGTTTGACTTACCTTTATAGAATATATGTATACATCTATTATACAAATATACCAGTATTTATTACAAGACTAGGAATAAGGCCCATTGTGGAAATAAATACAACTAAGTCTAGAAAGAGGCTCTGGGAGAGTGCCAAGGCCTTGGGCACCCAGCGTCAATGTGCTGTGGCGACCTCAGCAGGGTATAATAACACAGAGTCCACCATTTTCCCCAGAGGAACTGATCTCTGCTACCTGAAGTGCAGTTATAATTTTCAGTGATCTCCAGCCCTCACCAGGAGATTGGCAACAATTGTTATCCAGGTCAGCCTCTTCCATGCTCTGAAACCCTGACTGCCACAGAATCCACCATTTTCCATGCTCTGAAGCCCTGACTGCCACAGAGTTCACCATTTTCTCCAGGGAAACTGACCTCTGCCATCTGGAGAGCAGTTGTAATTCTGAGTGATCTCCAGCCCTCACCTGGAGATTGGCAACAATGGTTTCCCAGGAGAAAAAAGTAGTATTTCTCTACAATAGGGACCAAAGCAGCTTACATCATTCTCCTCTCCCCCTTTTGACTTGCACAACAACCCTGTGAGGTAGGTTAGGCTGAAAGTCTGTGACTGGTCCAAAATCACCCACTCAGCTTCTACAGCAAGAACCTGGATCTAGCAGACCCTGCTCTGAAGCACTGACTGCTGCACCTAGGGCAGCCAACCTCCAGGTGGAGGCTGAAGATCACCAGGTATCACAACTGAACTCCAGACAACAGATCTCTCCCCCTCCCCAGAAAAAATAACTGCTTTGGAAGGTGGGGTGTATGGCATTCTGTTCAGCTGAGGCCTCTCCCCTCCCCAAACCCTAGCTTCCATAGACTCTACCTGAAAATCTCCAGGAATATCCCTACCTGGAGCTGGCAACCCTAGTCAGGACTGGCCCTAATGAGTTCCTCACAAAGGCCTGCAAAGGGTTTCCTTTGTCTGAACCAAGCTTGGTTGCCTACTATGGCAAAACGGGCTCCAGTTTACAACTCAGCTGTTTGTCTCCCACCCTCATCCCATGGGCGTATCTCACTCCTTTAGTTCTCTGCCACCACTCACAGAATCGTCCCTGCCTTTTTAGAGGGACGGTGAGACCCCTTTGGTCAAATCTTCCTATTTGGAGATGGAATCTCCAATCTTTGCGGGATCCCTAGAAAGTTGGCAACCCAAGGGTCTGGCCTTTCCTTGCTTCCCTGGGCTACTCCCTCCCTTTGGTATTGCGCAGAGCAGGGTACACAATGTGGTCAGAGCACAACACAGATTATTAGCCCAAATTAAAGAATGTATTTAACTATTTACACACTTATGGAGCACACACACACTGTAGGAGTAAGCACACACTATGAACCAACAGGGCATAAATCAACAGGGGTTAAACACAATCCTCTTTCTCTACACACAATAGTCTCTATCTCTGGAGGTTGTGGGCTTACCTGTACTTCAGCCTCTCTCTGTAGCCCAAGAGAGCAGGGAAACTGAGAAGTGGCTGAATTTCTGCTGCCTCCCAGGGACGAAGACTGCCTGGGGACAGTCCCTGTTTTCCCGCACTTTAGCCTTGGGGCAGCTGGGAACTGTAGGCCAGCAGATGAGGAAGCCCCATTCAACCCAGTGAGTGATACCCCTGCAGGCCCCTCTCTGGAACTACAGCTCAATTAAACCTTACGGGGGAACATTTTAAACAAATAACCAGAGCCATCTTACAAACACAGGTAACTGCCATTTCATGACACCTACCAACAGCCACTGAGGGAACAGTTAGTCCCATACAGGAACAGCATCTTGGTCAAGAGAGAAGGCCATTTGCCAGTAATTCTGACAGGGCAGAGTGGCTGAAGGAAGGAGTGGGCAGGGAAGAGGAGTAGGCCCAGCACCCGGCCAATGGCACGCGAGTACTCTTGAGTGGCAGCTGACGGGCCAATGGCTGAGGGAGAGCCATGGAATCTTGCCACCCCCAAACAGGATTATTATATAGGAGAGATATTTAAAAAACAATTACTGGCCCTAATATAGCCTCAGTTTAGATTAAAATCATACAGTACTCAAACAAAGACCTATTTTTGTTCTTATTATTTCTAAGTCAACAGACATACAAATCTCACTGAATGGCTTATGGGAGATGAATAACCAGCCTCCTGTAGTTGCTGTTGAATGGTTACTAGGGTGCAGATCTACTTAGATGAACTGGGGTAAAATTATGGAATTGGACCAGTGTTTTCTAGCAGTAATTACACTGCTGTCCAGGTGATCTATTTTCCTCTGCACACTTTTATCAGTAAGGAATTTACAAAGATTATATAGGAACTTAAACTTAAATTTAACCCTCTTTTAATTAACTGAAAATGTAAGATGTTTCGGTGTGCACAGGTTTTTGGTGCGTGAATGGTTTATGTGCAAGAAAAAATAACGCAAACAAAATCTGTGGCAAGGGGAAACTACGTGTATGTTTACAAAATTCAGAAATCTAAACCAAAGTATGGTAGAAAACTAACCGTGGAATGGTACCCTGGGTCCAAGACCCAGATAATTTAAAATATCCAAACTGGGAGGAATTCAGAGGGAGGGAATTTCAGAAGTACCTGTATACCAGGAGTCCCCATCCTTTTTGAGCCTGTGGGCCCCATTATAGTTCTGACACAGCCTAGTGGACGCAGCCATAAAATGGCTACCACAATATGGTTTCCACAGCTTACCATATGTCACACAGTGAAGATCCTTGTGCTATGGTGACAGTTGCTGCAAAAGCAACATTTTTAATAATCCGCAAAGCCAATCAAAGCTCCAGTGGCCAGTTAGAAGCCTTGCTGTGAAAAGCTCCAACTGGCCCAGCCCACTTTCTAAAAGAACTTGATGGACACCAGGAATGATGTTGGCAGGTGCCATGGGGCCCATGACCACCATGTTGGGGACCCCTGTTGTAGTTTTTTTGTAATATCAAAGAAACATCAACCTAATACTAACACAACATCATACTCTAATCATGCTCCAGTTGTCTTTTCCTGGTCCTCAGTGTGCTCTTACCCATACCAATTCATTGTCATGCAATCTGGATAGGAACGTGAGCATTTTCAAAGGTCCTGCCCATACGAGTGGCATTTTCCCTTCATCAGCTGGATGCCATTTGTCTGCCACACCACTTTAGGGCAGTTATTATTAAAAAATCAATAATTGCTGTATCCCTATAATGCTAAAGCAGTTAGCCACAAAATGCTTTCTGGTGACATGGTGGAGAAAAATTGCAGGGAATTTGCAGTTGATCGAGGAGAACATGCAGAAAACTGTTGCGTGGCAGGTCCATTGCCTATGTGCATGCATTTGCAGCAGTGATGAATGCATAACAGAGAATCCTTGCTGTGTGATTGCAGCCCAAGTTAGTGTCCAAGGCTGAACCCCATACACAAGTAACTGATGCCTTCTTTATTTTGAAAATTTTAAGAAATTTTATTTTGTTTCTGTCAAAAAAAAGGTTTAATCTACAGGCAACACAATGCTCTAAAATCACAGAGCAAAAAACAAGAAAAGCTAACTTAACTATTTAACATGTTTTCAAGACCTGAATTAGATGGCACAAACCTTAAGTCCAATAGTCAACAGCTACAGCTTATGCATTCTGTACATTGCTGTCTAATGCAAAAAAAGCATATCATAGTCCAGGCCTTCAGTCTATAAGAATCCTCGCTAGCCTCCTTTCTCTTAGCTTAATTATATTTTTTGGGCCAAGCCTCCTCAGGTGATGATGACACCCAATCAGGACATGTTCTTGCTGGAACCCTCTAGAAAATTACCGCATCACCCGGAGTCTTCCCGTCCCATCCTATGGGCCACAGGTTCTCGTGGGAGGCTAATTATCCTATATCCAGCTCTGGCTTTGAAGGTGATAAGAGCTGAGTAGGCAGAGAGACCAATTAGCAACACCTGCAGGATGGAACAAACCTGTTAACATTCACCTTAACTCTTGGGGGGGGTCAAGGGGTGCTTTGCCTCACTTTTAAATTGTCTTAAATCCAGTGGGAGATGTTTAAGCACATACCATTCTGAAATCATATATATTCATGGTTTATGGGTTGACTGAGGTGTTTTCATTAATGTTTTATTATTTTTTTAATTTTGAGAACAAAAGGAACGTGGAAAGCTAAAGTAAAGATGACTCAAAATACCAACTGTACATTATTACTGTACCAATGAAATTTGTATAATTTTTAACAAGTTTCATTCAGAAAGAAATCAAATTCAGAATGGCTAGGCATGCTTCTATCACGAAGCTTGCCTGTTAAATGACAGCATCTTGTATTATTTTTGTGGTTTGTCATCGAAGGACCTACCAATTCTGACTTGAAAGGCCTTCATGCTTTAATTGTCGTCTTTGAAATAACACTGGTAGGAAATGCTAATATTCAACAGCATGCAATTAACAATATTTTTCTTTGAAAGGAAACCCCTGTTAGCTCTGACTGACATATGTAATTGTAACTCTCAAGCTCTGCTAAAATGTTTGAAGACTCATTATATCGAGTTTAAGCAAGTTAGGTGTCTTATTTTCACTGCGTTTAAATGCTAATCTGTGTATTGCGTTTCATATATTTCTTAGACCCTGTGCAATGGTTGTCCCTGACATTGAACTAATCTGTGAGATTATGCTGGTTGCTGAGGGGTTTGTTGATGCACGCTTGTTAGCGAGGAAGTTTATTACCTTGTATAAACTCTGTGGAGAGCTTCTCTCTAAACAGGTAAGGAATTTCTTTTGGAAGTTGGTGTATCACTGATGCTAATAAAATGGTGTTGTGCTTTATTTGAATGATAGTACTGACAATGATTTTGGTGTATTTTCAAAAGCTGAGAAATTGTTTCAGTTACTTATAGGTTAAAAGCGTAACACCTGGAAAAGCAGGCATTGGTGTGGATCAACCAGCATTTTCCCATGGATGGCAAGATTTCTGCCCACAAAGTACTACCTTTCTCCCCTCCCACTAGAGTCTCAAATGTCCTCTGAAAGAATTTTAGTGTGTAAGCCCACACTTGCAATCTAAAGTGATACAGTCCAGACACATCTAGACCTAAATACTGCACATATTAAAAATGTCCATGGTGACATGTATTGTCCATTTTTATGCCCTCACAAGCCTTTGTGGATTCCTGCTTGTACTTTAACAAGGCTCTAGATTGAATTTAGAACATTCAATATTTTAAAACAACCGAGTACCAAACCATTTTTGTTCATGAGAACAAAATTTTCTTGAGTCGGAAATGTTGCTAATAATATGAAAGCTGATATTTATTTCTGGATATGTTGTGTGCTAGCATATAATTTAATAATACCGACATTTGCATTGGTATGGTCTCAAGGTCTTTCAGCAACTGTTACAGAAAATGTTCCTATATTGTAGCAAGATCATCTGAATCCAAAAAAAAACCAAAAAAAACATGGATTCTCATATTTTAAGAATGCAGTGGGCAGTATTCTACCATTCTGCAGTGGTCCTGGGTGGGTCAGACTTGACTTCTGGGATATAGCTCCTTCTCTTAGAAGGAAATGTCATCAAACTTTGTGATTCTGGAAGGAAGGGGCTTGTCCCTAGAGTCTCCAGTTTCTTCGGCCCGACCTCACAGCTGGACATCTCTGACAGTGCTCTTAGGAACACTGTGGTCCTGGAAAACCAGCTTGCAAAAAAGAAGATAAGACAAGCCTATCAGTGGGCAGAAGCCTGGAAGCAGAAGATGGCAGATGAGACTTACAAGGAGTAGGAGGGGGTTTTCTGCCCCCCTGCGGTCCTCTCACGCAGTGGTAAGCAATTGGGAGCCGATGGCATCAGTGTCCTCCCTCATACCATAGCACTTCCCATCCCCGTGGCCAGAAATTGGGAACTGATAGTGTCAGGGTCTTCCCTCTCGCCATGGCACTTCCTGACCCAGCACAGCAGAGGGTTCCCCAGTTCTAGGGCCAGGAGCTCCCCCAGTTGCCCACTGGGGCATGTAGTGCCAGCAGCAACTGCACTGGAGAGTGCCTTGGCAGCCCGGAAACATTGGAGGGAGCCAACGCTGAACTAGGGAGACTGCTCTGGCCTCCCCAACCCTCCTGAATCCTGGTAAGTTTTTTTCTGTTTAAGGGCCTGCCTTGTCATAGAGGAAAGCCCTTTTGTTTTTGCTTTTGCTTTCATTGTTGGGAGGAAGAAGTGCATTAAGGTGGGGAGTGGCAGCCAAGGCAGGCCTAGCCACCCCCCAGCCCCAGGATAGCATATATCTATTTGAGACTTCCCAAGTTCTCTGTCTCCCCTCCTTCTTTCTGGGGTTCCAGCTGGATTTGGAGAGGGGAGGCGCTCCATCCATAAATCTCTTTGTGGGGGGGGGGAATGTTCAGGCCATTCTCCTAGCCTAGATCAAGCAGGGCATGGGGAGGAAAATTAAAGAGGCCTTGAGCCAGACTGGCCAGACCAGGAGAACCTCAACCAGGTTTCCTGTCTGACAAAGAGGACATTTCCCTTCTAGCGATGCCTTCTGGGGCAGAAAAATCCCCCCCTGAAGCCAAAGCCTCCCAAAATGGATCGGGCAGTGCATTTCCAAAGGTAGGGATGGCCCACTCCGGGATCCCTTGCCCTGTAGTCCTTAACAAGGTAGTCAAAGACCAAATGTAATACACCAGCTAGAATAAAGTCTAACCATCCTACCTTTTCTCAGTGCTACTCCTCAGTACTAGAAATGGCAATGAGCTTCAAGCTGCCCCCAGTGGATGTTCCCATGGCAAGCCTGAGGTCAAATTCTGTACATCCTGGCTGAAAGGGGTGGTTTTCTCCCAGGGGCCCCTTTGACAGACGGATAGCGTGGGATCTACACAAGGACTTCGGAGCTTCCTCAGCGGCCTTGAGAGCTTCTGTGGAATGCTCTCTGTTTGCCAGAACTGCTTATCTCAGGGCATCTGATCTTACAGCAGCAGACAGTAAGGTTCCCAGGAAACTGAAGGATGAGATATAGACGTTTGAGTTTGTATCAGCTTCCCTGGATTCCATCCAACTTTCAGCTAGAGCTATGGATTTGAGTGGGACAACCAGATATAGCAACTGGCTTCAGAGTTGGGGGTAGACATCGAGGCTCAGGCCACGGTGGCCAGTGTTCTTTTTGAGGGAGTCACTCCATTTGGTGAAGGTACAGACAACAAGAAGGTGTTGCCTTCAAGGAAAAGGGACAGTAAGTCCAGAAAATGCTTCCTTTTCCTTTAAGATTCCAAGCAATCCTCAAGAGTAATCCGGGTCCTTCTAGGGAGATGGCAAACCAGGCAGCAAGGCAGTTACAGAGCAACTATCCTTTACTGATCTGGGCAGAACATCAGGGACCCTAGAAGGGGTCTTCAGCATTATGCCATGCCATGAATTCAGGTGACCCGAGAGTCATTTGCAGCCCACTGGCATCAAACTGGGAATGACAAGTTGGTACCAGACACAGTTATAAACAGCTATTCTCTGGAATTCAGTTTGAATTCCACTCATTGGTTCTTTTCAGGTACCAAGACTTCATTTTGCACAGCTGTATCTCCTCCTGGAGAAGGCCATTCACACATGCTGGACTTTGGGGTGACAGCAGCAGTACCAGAAGCACCTAGGACTTGGAGAATCTACTCAGTGCCTTTCATAGTCCTACAGAAGAATGGGGAAGTCAGGGTCATTCTAGATCTCAAGTGGTTGAACAGACGACTGAGAGTGAAGAGATTCAGAATGAAGGCCCTTAGGTCCATTGTAGCACCCATACAGAGAGGAGTCTCCTTGGCATCTATTGACCTATCTGCAGTTTCCTTCCCAGAAGCCTAGTGAAGGTTCCTGCAATTTGCATACTATGAGAGGCACTTCAAATTTCGGGCTCTCCCATTTGTGCTGAAATCAGCACTGAGGGTATTTACCTAGGGCCTGGTAGCCCTTGTAGTACATCTGAGGACCCAAGGGGTCCTTACAACAAGGTATGGAAAATGTGAACTGGACAGTGTCTTGCCTTCAGGAACATGGCTTTGTGGTCAACTGGGAAAACAGCAACCTTCGTCCTTCATGGGTGATGCTTCTTCTGGGGGTGTTGTTAGACACTACAAAGGACACAGTCTTTCTGTCATCAGAAAGACAGGAGAAGACTCAAGCTTCAGGGTACCAAATCCTTCTGGGTCCTAGGTAGAAGTGATGTTACTGGCAAAGCCTCTAGGGATAATGGTACCATGCCAGGATGTTATTCAGGGATCCAGGCTTCATGCCTGCCCACTTCAGAGCTTCCAGTTTCCCTTTCGGGACTTAATGGCTGGCTAGAAGTCCAAGCTTTTTCTGTTACCTGAATTTCTAAAACAGCAGCTTAGGTGGTGGAATTTACCTAGGACATACCTAGAGAACCAAGGAGATCCATGATGACAACGGACACGAGCAACTGATGGCATCAATCTTCAGGAGCTCAGAGCCATAAAGTTGGGTTTTTTGGCATCCCAGGATTTTCTTTCAGGACATCTAATCCTTGTGCACTTGGACAACATAACATCCAAGGCTTATGGGAACAGACAAGAGGGTACCAGTTCCAGGTCTCTTCAAGAGGAGGTAAAGACCCTAATGCACTGGGCAGTGGTCATCTGAAGTCATTAATGCAGTATACATGGCAGGACAGGACAACTCCCTGGCAGACTGGCTGAGCCAGAGGACTCTGAACCAATCAGAGTGTATGTTGAACAAGGATATTTTCCATCAGATTTGTCTCAGACCCGGCAAGGTGGATCTCATTACCATGGATCTAAAGTGCAAAGTTCCAAAGTTCATTGGTGTTTGCACCCCAAACTGCGAATGGCTGCATCAGCTACCATATGCTTTCCCCCCAATACAGCTGATATAGAGGGTCATACAGAAGATCACAGATAAAAGGGTGGAAGTAGTCACAGGGGGCACCCTTTGAGCCACGGAGGTCATGTTTTTTTCAAAATATGATGAGGTTTGTCTCCAGGAACCCTTGGCGCCTTTCACTTAGGAAGGCTCTGCTTCTACAAGGATCGGCAAAGCACAACAGGAACTTCTCAGCCTTACAGCCTGGAGGTTGAGCGTTTGCAACTGGCAGAGATCGGATATTCCATGGAGGTGGTTGAGTCCATGCTAGCCTCCAGGAAAGGCTCTACTACAGGATCCACTTAACACCTGGCAGGTTTCCTTTTTCAAGATTGGTGCCTGAAACTAGACTAGATCCTTTCTCTGTCCCAGTCAGGGAGGTAATCTCTTACTTACAGGAGGGATTAGACAAAATGGTAAACACCACTACACTCATAAGACAAGTTGCAGCTTTTCTGCCATTAGGGGCACCAGGAAAGGAAAATCCTTGTCCCAAGTACTTCATTTTAGGAGTTTTTCTGAGGGGTACTTCCTTGTTAGCTCATCCCCAGGTTCACCAATAACTAATAAACTGTTTTTACAACTTGAAGCCTGCATGTAGTGCTGGAAGCTGTTTCCAGGGTTCCCTCTGAGCCTATGACCTCATGCTCACATAAATAGTTAACCATCTGGACCTTTTTTCCTTGTGGGTGTTACATCAGCTAGATGAGTGTCTGAACTGCAGGCTCTTCGCGTGGATAAAGAACTTTGTAAATTCCATTATAATAGAGTAGTGTTGTGGCAGGATTCAGCATTTATATCCTAGGTAAATTCCACAGCTTACAGGGTGGAGGATTTGGTTTGCCTTCCTTTTGCCCCAAATCCTAAGCAAACTTATGAGAAGGAGTGGCATTGTCTAGATGTAAGAAGGGCTCTGAGTCTCTAGCTTGATAGAACCAAACTGTTCCATAAGGACTCACTCTATTTTTGTCTTTTTCAGGAGGTCTTCCTTGGGACAAAAGTGTATCTACTCCCACCATTGAGAAGGTGGGTTAGAGGGTGCATCATCCTGGCCTAGAAAGCCACAGGTTTAGATCCGCCACAGGGCATCATGGCCCATTCTCTAAGAGGGGCGGTGACTTCAGCAGCTTATAGGTTTTTTCTTCTTGGGGAGAAATATGTAAAATCTGCTAACCAGAGGTCTAGGCTCTTGCTTACCAAGCACTACAGAATCAACACGGTGACCCCAGCTGAAGCGGCCTTCAGGAATGGGATCCTTCAGCACACTCTTCTGGCCTAGGAGCCAGGTTCTTCCCACCCTGGGGCACACTGCTTTTGTATGTCCCAGAAGTCAAGACTGACCCACCGAGGACCACTGAAGAATAGAAAATTTGTTTCACTTACCATGAATCTTCCTTCTTGGTGGTCCATTGGTGGGTCAGTTTTTCTCTTCTGAGGTTGTCTGTGGTATGGGCTCCTAGCCACTGATGGACCTCTGCTCCATATGTTTAATTCCCTAATATAATTCCATGTGTTAATCACTCTTAGGGTGAAGAAGTACTTCCTTTTATCTGTTCTAACCCAACTGCTCAGAAATTTCATTGAGTGCCCATGAATTCTTGTATTGTGAGAAAGGGAGAAAAATACATCTTTCTCTACCTGCTCTATCCCACGTATAATCTTATGAACCTCAATCATGTCACCCCTTATCCATCGTTTCTTTGAAGGGCTAGTTGTTATGATGAGGGAGAGTTACAGCTTGAAAACAAACTGGAGACTCCAGGGACAAGCCCCTCCCCTCTGGGGATCACAAAGTTCAATAATCCTGCCTTTGGAGAGGGAGAGCTATATCCCAGAAGTCAGGACTAACCCACTCATGGGCCACCAAGAAGGAAGATTCATGGTAAGTGAAACAAATCTTTTGTTCTGTGTGTGGAAGGTATGGTCCTCTTGTGTGCCTCTCCATTGATGCAGCTCTTTCTGACCCCTGGAGGTATCAGTCCTCGGGTTTCAGAACCCACATGGAGGAACAGCAGTGTTATTTTGAGGGTTTGATGTGAAGAAGTACAAGGAGTTGCAATTGCTTCTCCTTCCTGTTGCACACATTCTGTTGCATTGAAGGGAAGGGACAGTTTCATCCCCTTCATTCCAACCTAACAACCTTCATGGCTGTTTCTCTGTATGAATCCTGAGACAACCTGAAAGTGATCTTTCTGGGAGATGGAGGGAGCTGTAGCTATGGATGGGAATCATGGGAAATCCCCATTTGCCTTCTGTACATAGATGGTAGGATACTGCCCATTATCAAAGACAACTTTTATATATTCAAAACAGAGACTCATGCATACTCATTTAAAATTTTTCTAAATAACTTCTCACAGGATCATTATGACTGGGGTCTTCGTGCTGTTAAATCGGTCCTGGTAGTTGCTGGCTCCCTGAGGCGAGGAGACAAAACTAGACCTGAGGATCAAGTATGTGTAACAGTATTGATCCAGAGTTTGTAAAGATATAGCTGATTATAGCATTTACTTTCTCTGATGATGATTGTTAAATTCTATTTCTGTTGACATGAATGGAAATTTTCCTGTTGTACAGTGCAGAAGTTTATTCTGTTCAAGGGCAGGCCACTGAAAGCCCTTGTGTTATAACATGTATGGTTTACTGCCCTTTTCCAGGTACTTATGCGAGCCTTAAGGGACTTCAACTTGCCTAAGATAGTGACAGATGATAGCCCAATTTTCATGGGCCTGATCAGTGACCTATTTCCAGCTCTGGATGTTCCGAGGAAGAGGGACCTGCAATTTGAACAGATGGTTAAACAATCTACCCTGGAGCTTTGTTTGCAGCCTGAGGAGAGCTTTATTCTCAAAGTAAAAGAATCCATTGCCTTTAATTACACCCCTTAAGAATTTCAATCAAAATAATTGCAGACAGGTTGTATTAGATGTGAAGGTTAACCTATGTACATTACAATGTTCCTATTGTGTCCTGAAAGTGCTGCTATTTCAAAACACAATGCTGTAAATGTGCAGGCTAAATTTACATGTATAGACTCCTGTTTCAGTAAAAATATGTAGCCTGTACTCCTATCTGGGCATTTATTGCTGCCTTTCTAAAGTATCCTTAAGTAACTTATTCTTTTTAATACTACAGTACTAAAGTATTCATGTTTCACCAGGATGAGCATCAGTGCACTCTTGTGCTTATGGCTTGCCTATTGATTGCTCTGCTATATTTACCAAAACAAGAGAGAAAGACAGAATAACCTTTGTGATTTAGGAGAGTCTTGTGAGAGAATTGGTCCTATCAGCATTCAAACTGTGCCACCACAACTGCATTTGTCTGTTGTGCAGATGGATGAGATTTGCTGCAAGACTCAATGTAGGTAACAGGATAAGAATGACAAAGTTCATCTAATATGGATCCTGCTCTCATATTTGCAGAAACAGGAACCATGCGGCACATTAGAAGTCAAACTAGAGGTCTGGGACTTGGTGGGTAACAGATCGGTGTGAGAGAGTGCTAAACCAATTCTAAAATGGGTTAAGATTGCTTCTCTACTTACTAGCTTCACCTCAGTAATAGCTGTGCATCTCAATAGAGGAGGTAACACAGAGTCTCTGGGGCTGCCATTGTCTACTCCGCCAGCCTATGCTCCACTGAAGAAAGCCCCCTTAGAACAATCTAACCCACAGTCTGCATGACCTTTTCTCCCTTGTGGCAGATTTGGCAAGCTAATTGAAATCGGTTTGCACAATTAAATCTTTCCACATCTCATCTTTTCAAGTCTTACTATGTCTCTTAGAGTTTCTAGGTTAAATCTCTGAAAAATTGCACAGAAGATTTTACTTCCATTTGCCATCTCTGCTGTAGCCACTTAATGTTCTCAGTTGCCACCAGCTGAGGAAGGAGCCAGCTTTCATTCTCTTTTGTACTGATTTTATGGAGTTTTCTGTTAGAGTGAGATGTTAATCAATTAACTAGTGCAAAAAACGTGACTTGCAGAATTTTTCCTATATAATTCTGTATAATTTAGCAATTTTTAATTCCATCAACATGCTTTTAGGAGGTATAGCTCTTAAAAATATGTTGATGGAAATAAAATTTCTAGATCACTTACAGAATTGTTTCCCCACCCCATCTGACTGATCAGTTCCATGCAGAAGACAATGTATCAAGATCAAATGATGGTCAAAAGTGACTAGTATTGACAGCAAGTGTTTTTCTAGGATACTTCATGTGCTGGAAGGGTTAACAAATGTCACAGCATTAATTAAGCTCAGTTTAATGGTGATGCCTAATATGCAGCATTCCACATGCCTGGATTTACACTTAAATCTGGTCTTTACCTGCTACACATTTAGTGTTAGCATGCCAGGGCAGTACTTGCCCTGCTCAAAGCACCCTGGCATGCTAATTCTGCACATGCAGGCAAGGTTACACAGTTTGAAGAAGACAGTGGGCTTGTAGAACACCATTTGGGGAAGTTATTTTCTCATTCATAGCATCACTGATATATCGGAGCCCAGTTAGTAGAATAGTATGGCCTTTTTAAATAAATCAGTTTCAGGTTTATGGAGGCCAACAGAAGAACATGGCATACAGGTACAGAGAGGGGGGAAAACATGGGTAATGTCTTGAGCCAAAATAGTTTTTCTAGCTAATGCAGGTTTTTAAACATTTACCTTTAAATTGCTAAACTTATTTACAAAGTGCTGGTTCTCCTCTCTTGTAGCATTTAGTAATAGGATGTAATTGGTTCGTTCTAACTGGACTGTAGTTATGTAGCTCAATTAATAGCAAAAAAGGGTGGGATGTGTTTTCATTTCTTAGGTTCATTCATTAATTCTAGTCTGGGCATAAGGCCATGGGCAACTAATGCACCTTCTTCAATTTGATGTTATTTGGAGAAGCAGCAATTCAGTTTCCTGACTACAGGAGAGGATGGGAGGAGAAACTGCTGTGTGGGAAGTAATTAGTGTCTTAGTGGTAATGGGAGGACAAGAAAACAAAACCACTGGCTGCGTATTAATTCTGTTTGGCAGGTTGTTCAGCTTGAAGAGCTGCTGGCAGTGCGTCATTCTGTCTTCGTAGTTGGAAATGCAGGCACGGGGAAAAGTGAGGTAAAACACACTTTAACAGTTTCTACAGGCAGTTTTGCAGTTTTAAAATTCCCAACCATGTGAACTTGTATGACATCATATTTTTCAGTCGTCCCATCAGTTCTGATGTTACGTATAACCCCAGTTGGTAAACATACTTGTGACCTATGACCAGTGTTCTCTCTAAGCTGACTTAGTGTGTGCTACCTCACTGTTTTTTAGCCTCCAGCTCACACATTTTTGTCTGAGCTCCAGAAGGATGGCGCCAGAGCAAGCCTAATTTATGCAGTAGCCAAATCGCTCACTCACAGCTTTAATGCCAGTAGCTCACCAAGTAGAATTTTTGCTCACAAGAGTCCACAGCTTAAAGGGAGCACTGCCAAACAGAATTAATTTCCAACCATGTGAGCTTGTATGACATCATATTTTTCAGTGATCCCATCAGTTCTGATGTTACATATAACCCCAGTTGGTAAACATACTTGTGACCTATGACCAGTGTTCTCTCTAAGCTGACTTAGTGTGTGCTACCTCACTGTTTTTTAGCCTCCAGCTCACACATTTTTGTCTGAGCTCCAGAAAGATGGCGCCAGAGCAAGTTAATTTATGCAGTAGCCAAATCACTCGCTCACAGCTTTAATGCCAGTAGCTCACCAAGTAGAATTTTTGCTCACAAGAGTCCACAGCTTAAAGGGAGCACTGCCTGTAACCAGCTCAGTCATGAAAACAGACCTGTACTTCTTCTCTGGGACTGAAGCTATTGAGTGAAATTCAGCTTTAGTAATTATTTCACTGGGGAAGGAATCCTTCATCTTCGTGTCTTCTGTGTAGTCCCACATGGGACTGCTTCAGGCCTGCTGTGGAGGAATTTTCTACAAGCTTCTAGAATTTTACAGTTGAGTGCTCCCCCTGTCCTTGGCACAGCAGAGCTACAAGCTCTGTTCCCGTCCAAATGATCATGTGATGGGGTAGAGGGAGCACTTTTCTCTCAGTCTTTTTTCTGCCGCCATAGAAAAAGGACGTACTACAACTTCTGAAAAGATTCTTTGAAGAACCTATTTTTCCTTACCATTGCTTATTAAGATAATAGATGCCACAATTATGTCACAAAATGCCACAATTATGTCACAAAAATGGGACAGAATGATGTCCATGGCCAGTGCGTCATGTGCTTGGGGGAAGGGCACAACATGTCTTCTTGTCAGGCATGTAGCCTCTTCATCCTGAAAGTGCAGCAAGGAAAGGACTCTTCACCTTCACTTGGGGTTTCCAAAGTGTTGGATTCCCCTCAAAAGAGAGCCAGGACCCCCTCAGTGGTCTCTGCGCCAGTCTTGTAATCAAAGCCTGATGCCAGAGGGACAACTCAGATCCCAAGAGCTGCTTCTGAACTGCCCATAAAGAAGGCTAAAAGGAAGTCAAAATGCTCAACTTCATCGATTACTCAACCCCAACATAGAGATTCTGACATGACGTCGAAACCACTGATCCAGGTCCCGGCACAACGCTGACAATCCCTTTTAAGTTGGTTGCAAATTCACGCAAGGTTACCATGGGGTCACAATGGCTCACATCGCCACAGATCATCGTCATTGACACAACTCGATTTTTGGTTTCTCCCCATCACTCAACACCCTTCCAACCTGAAGATCTCTGTACCTTCAACGTCAGAGCTCCCAACAGTTGACGATGTCATCACTCTTCAGATGAAAGCACAGCATGCTTTCAAAAGCCCTGTACCCCTTCCCCTTCCATGACTTCAAAGGAGTACCGATCCTCGGATGATGTAATTGAACTAATCACCCTTAGATTTCAAAAGCCCTGTACCCCTTCCCCCTCCATGACTTCAAAGGATGATGTAATTGAACTAATCACCCTTAGACAAGGCTTCAACAAACAAGCCAACCTCAGTTTCTGAAGCCAACACCTCTCAGATGTTAGAATGGAGCAGAAAGAGGACTGAGGGAAGAGTGTTCCCTCCACCCCTTGTCATGTGATCATTTGGGCAGGAACAGAGCTTGTAGCTCTGCTATGCTGAGGGGAGGGGGAGCACTTAACTAAAATTCTAGAAGCTTGTAGAAAACTCCTCCATGACAGGCCTGCTCTGAAGCAGTCCCATGTGTACCTGCACAGAAGACACTCAGTGAACATCAGTTACAGATAAGTGCAACCATGTTCTCTAACTTCTTTTGGCTGACCACCCTTATAGGAAAGATAGAATTCTCTGCAAATTAAATGGAGGTGTGTGTTTTTAGAGAGAATGTTCATTATTTGGAATGCTTGCTTTCCTCTGTAGTGGATGCAGAGGCTCCCCTGAAGTTGCCTGTATGTGGCATTCTGTTGCATTCTGAATCCTGCAGTTATTCCACATTGGGAATTACATTCCATGGGTTGACTGTTTTACTCTTATTATTCCTTTTTTCTTAAAGGTTAGAAAATAGTTTTAGGAATGCTGAAAGTGGCGCAAGGGCAGTATTCGCTGTCTGTGGTATATTTTTCCCTTTCTTCTGTCTTGCCTTTCAGATCAAACATGTTCTGCAGGGTTTTGAAGAATTGAAAACCTTGCAAAGCACATGGACAGAAGTGGTGATTGTGGAATAAGGGTGCATATACAGGATTAGGCAAGAGATTGCAGGTTAGGATAGGTAAGGACAGGTCTCATTTAGGAAAAGGAGTCATAAAGAACGAGTAGGACAGTTTCCTTTGGACACATAAAATGTGCAGTTCTTTATTGTTCTTGAAGTGCTCCAAAATCTACTTTTGAAACAGGGTTCTGAAAAACAAAACTACAAGCCCAAACATTTAGTAAGGTTATGCATACCAGCCCTCTGTATTAACATTAAAAAATTTCTTGAAATCTAATACTTGGACTCTGTAATGGGAGTCTTTGTGGCTCTCCTTCAGATCCTGAGAACGCTGAACAGGACTTATACAAACATGAAGCTGAAGCCTGTTTGGAATGATCTGAATCCCAAAGTTGTGACTACTGATGAGCTTTTTGGTTTTATACATCAGGCTACTCGGGAATGGAAAGATGGCAAGTAGCAGATACATTTATCTTCATTACTGTGACATTTTGTACAATCTTCTTTCCTGTGATGTGGGAACTCCTCTCTGGGTGGATATTTTCTGTATGGGGAAATCACAATCTTCCTCTACTGCTTCAGACTGAAGGTGATCTCTTGTAGGAATAATCCCCATGGGAAAACTCCCTTTGCCTAAAAGCTGTAGGATATCCCCTGCCAGTCTACTTTAATATATGCAAGTGCTTCTCAAATGATGGAACATTCAAGCAATACACCCATTAACTTACAATAGCAGAGTCCCAGGAAAGCTAGATGTGGTGTTCTGGATGTGGTGTTTCTGAAACTTCAGTAGTGACTGCTTTCCAGCTGTAGCTGATCATAGGGAGGGGAGCATGGTGAGGGAACTTCCTCAATGCATTTGCACCATGCAGACAACTTGGTGACTGCATGGCGGTGTGGGGAGTGGAGCCATCTCACTTGTGTCCACTGTTACTCCCTGCATGGTGATTCAGCATGCAAATAGGGCATCTGCACAGGGCTCTTTACATGAAACCTTCAGCAAAATCCACTTGTACGTTCATCTGGTTTTCAGGACTATTTTGAAATATATCCATGTGGCAACTTCCATGTTTAGGGCATGCTCAACTGGTAATGCTAGAAGTGGTTCTGGGTAAGCAGATGGCATTATTCCGTCAGACAACCTTGCAACACAAGTGGGAAATGCAGGCTTCAAAATCTATGATAATCCCCCCCAAGGAGATCTAGCCCTCTGTATCTTGGCATCCAAATTGAAATACATATTTCCTATAGTCAGAGCAGTAAGAAATTGGGGAAGCTCCAGTTGCCACAGGAGCACTTGGTTGCATACTCCAGGATTCTTTACATCCTTATTAGGAAGCGTTATGTTTCGTTATATAGAAATTGCATTGTCAAAACCTATTTATGTAAAATTTTCAGGTCTCTTTTCATTTCTTTTGAGAGAACAAGTTAATATTGTCCATAATGGGCCAAAATGGATTGTCTTAGATGGGGACATAGACCCTATGTGGATTGAGTCACTCAATACTGTTATGGATGATAACAAGGTAAGCAAGAGACAAGAACATTCTGTACCTTCTACTTGACACCTTCCACGTTATTGCATCACCCTGTTTTCCCTTCTGTTGCTTGTTGGTAGAATAGGCATTCCCTTTTTGTGCGCAGTTAACAGTCACTCACGGGGGGGGGGGGGGGCTACCATAAAATTCTGAGGGCCATTTTCTTGTTGCAGTATTCTTGTGGATGCTAGCCCCACCTGGCTACTTTTTTCTTTCCCCATTGTGGCAAATTAGCTCCATAGGACATTTTGGGTTGCAAAAACAGCATCAGTGGAGAGAAAGTTTAAGTCCCCTCTCCTCACATGTTACAGTTCCTGTGTAAATTGGGCCTGCAGGGACCTGCAAATTAAGTTCTCAGCCTAAAATGCCCAAAACCTGAGTGAGTGAAATGTGTCTGGCAGCGATGAAGAAAAGTGTGAATTAGCTCTCAGAATTTTATGGTGGCTCCTCAGGTCCACCAGTCACTGGCCTGGTAAGCGCACTTCTTTCTGTCCTGTGGTTCCAAATCTGAAGACTGAAGAAACAAGCTCATTTTACAGAAGTCTCACAAGGCATCAGTCATCAACACTGTCTCAGATGCCTATATTTTGGTCATTGTTTCAAATCCATGGTATAAAAAATGCCTGGAACATGTAACACAAAAAAATTTAGTTCTCTGTTACATAAGTTTACATAAACTAGCAACGACTATTATCTGTACAGCATATAGAAGTGTATATATATTTTTTATTTTGTCTGTACCATTGCAGTAGATACTGAAATCAGACTAAATCTGTCACTAAAACAACAGAGTGTGGATGTGAAGTATAAAATAGTATCATGCTGTCCCACAAGAGGATCATTCGTTGAGAAATCTTTAAAAGATTCTATAGTATATTTTATATACTATGTACAGGCAAACTCAAATTTACCACTGAGCCTCTGCTAGCCCACCTCCTCTCTTTCTACAACCAACCTGCAAGAGAACTGGGACCCACTTCGGGGTTCCAACCTAGAATCTGAGAACCACTACTTTTTCTACCTCTCCTGTTGTGAATTCAGATGGATAGAAAGATGCACTTTATTTGAAAGACTCATCACTTTTGGAATACATCATGTCTGAATAACATATCTTTGAAGCATGTAGCTGGTGGCATTTCTCTGATTCATCATCAGAAATGTGCCATGGATTTTCTTGGCAGGGTAACATGACTCTGTGCTGCTAATGCCTAGGTGCTGACTCTTGCTAGCAGTGAACGGATTCCTTTGACTCCAACAGTGAGACTTCTGTTTGAGATCCACCATTTAAAAACAGCTACTCCAGCTACCGTATCTAGAGCAGGTATTTTGTATGTAAATCCACAGGATCTTGGTTGGAATCCGTAAGTATTTTCTTATAAAAAATAGCATAAAACCAAAACTAACAGTGACTAATTTCAATTGGCTTTTACTGGTTTGTGGGTTGCATTTGGTGTTGTTGTTATTGCTGTAGAAGTTTGCTATAACTTTTTATTATTCTAGGTGAGAGTTGCTTTAGACTGTTGCCAAATATGTCCATCTTTGGTATCAGCTCCACCGTATTATTCAAATTTATACTTTTCAGTTGTAGCAGTTACTAGTAATTATCCCACTCTTCAGGTTTATACTGCCTGTAAACTAATCTTCATTTGACAGTCCTCAAGACCTTCTAAATGAACAATATTGTCTATTAAACCTGCTCTCTGATCCAAAATGGCTTGTTATATTCTTTATTATTTACAGTAAATTCACAAACTTCATTTTGTAGGAAAAGCCCACTGGGGCATGTCTTTTTCTGGGCATTGCATCTAATGAAGTGAGATCTAACTAAGAAAATCTTATGCTGGAATAAATGTTATGGTATCAATGAGCTCCTGTTTAATTTTGTTGCTATGGGGGTGTGCATTCAGCTATAGCCGAACCAAAAAAATACCCGAAAAATACCTTGTCGGTATAGCTGAACCAAAAAAAGCTGATATTGGTCCTGGTTACACGGGCTGGAAAATGCGGGGCGATCAGACGCCTGCCCTTGCCCCGCGGGTTCCGGAAACCAGTACCTCGTAAGTACTAGTTTTTTACTCCGCATCTTCAGCGGAAAGCCACGGGTTAGCTACGGGAGCACTACGCTTCCCAGATGTTGCGGTGTGATCGCGCCCGGAAAATCTGCCTATCCATATCTTTAGCGCAGCAACTGCTCCGTGTGACCGGGGCCAAAATCTGGCTTTTGGAGGGGGGTTCTTTTTGCTATACCAAAAAAAGGTCTCAATTAAACCTAACAGCTGCCAGTCTGCTGTTGGGTTTAAATGCCTGGTTTCCCCTCCAGGTGCCCCAGGGCTGTGGGGCAGCTGGAGAAGATCTGGAGGGGAACCCAGGCATATCTGCATGCCTGCCCACTGCAGCAGGCAGGCTGGGAAAGGGAAGGACAGGTATGCACACATGTCCCCTTCCTTCCCTGAATCTCTCCACTTTTGCAGAGAAACTCAGGGAAGTGGGGGGCTTGTTTAAATGCCTTTCTTTCCCTTCCCCAGTTCGGGGAGGGAAAGAAAGGCATTTTAAACATGCCTGGGTTCCCTGCCTGCCCTTCTCCAGCTAGGACATGTCAGCTAGAGAAGGGAAGGCAGAGCCCAAGCTTTCCTTTATCAATTTCATCCTCAGCTGATTCACTGGGAGTGAAATTGACACGGAAATCTGTAGGGGCTACCAGCGGAAAGAAGGCATTTTAACATGCTTCTTTTCCCTCTGGTGGTGTAAATCAGCCCCAGATATATTCGGCAATACTGAATATTTCCCCAATCCGAATACCTTACCGGTATTGGACTGGGGAAATTTGGCATTTAATGATATTTTTCGGGTCTGATTTACCCAAAGCCAAAAAATACTGGCTTTTTTTTTTTTGCCCATCCCTAGCTGCTACAAGCTAACATGGTTATCCATCTAGATTTTTTTTTTCTGGGCAGGTTACATTAAAATGAATAGAGCTTGCTCATGAGTATATGCAGTTGTGTAAGACTTTCATTTCAAAGCTGATTTCGCAGGAGGAATTCCCTTGGGCTTGAGTTAATATTTTAGAACAAGCTCCTCTAAAATTAATAAAGACTATACCATTAAGTGTTCTGTTGTTTGGGATTATGACATAACTTTCTTTAGTAATGTATCATGAAGTTGATACATACTTTTTGAAAAAAATCTGCAAATTCTTGGAATTTTCTTCTAGTCACTTTCTGGTACTGGTACCAATCAGGAAGTTGATTGTGTTTATTATTATTGAACTTCTTTGAGTGACAGTATTCTAGTACTGAGATGGCCAACTAGTGGCCTGAGAGCTACATGCAGCCCAGAGCCAGTTCCACGTAAGAACATAAGAAGAGCCTTGCTGGATCAGACCAGTGGTCCACCTAGTCTGGCATCATGTCCCACACACAGTGGCCATCCAGTTGCCATGGAGGGCCAACAAATAGGGCAAAGAGACACCTGGCACCCAGCACCTGCTAGCTCAAAGATAGTGCCTCACATGATGATGCTGAATCTAGCAGCACTGCTTGGATTCACAACTATGCATGAGATACCACTTCTAAGCCAAGCGGCCAGTCTCTTCTCCAGTACTGAAGAGAGAGTAGTTGTTGATGTCTGTCTACAAGCAGGACTTTGCAGAAATAATATTTTTCTTTTTCAGGTACGTTGCAAGCTGGATAGAAAGAAGGAGTGATCAATCTGAAAAAGCAAATTTGACTATTCTCTTTGATAAATATGTTCCTCCATGCTTAGATCAACTCAAAACAAAATTTAAAACAATCATACCTATCACTGAGAACAGCATGGTTCAGGTAGGTACTTTCATTTGCTCCAGTTACATAAAGAGTGTAAAATGCTTGAGCCAAGTTTAAAATAAATATTCCTTGGAGCCCCCACAAATGTGAGACCTATGTAGATATAATATCCTCTGTATATTCTTCACCAAATTTAATTTACCCACCATATGTAAATCCAGGGCCACCAGTTAAGCAGTGGCATCTTCTATTTCAAGCTGGAGCTTAGAGGTAGATGTTAGAAAACAAGGCTCTAAAGACCTATGAGACCCTGGTGAGCTGGGTTCAACATTTTCTTCTAGTCTGGCTCATGAGTTGTAGCTTCTTATGCTTAACTGCATTAATAAGTAGTTACAGTACTGATAATAACTATATACCAGAATTCTAGTCTGCATGAATTATTAGAACACAACACACTTAGCAATGTCTGCCAGAGTAGATGTCAGCTAAATTGCATACATCTTATAATTTGAGCTAAAAGTTATTACTGTTTTACCTAAGACATTGAATAACGGTTTATTCCCCCTTCCTTGAATGTTTCATCAAATATTTTACATTGCTCAGAAAACAAAAAGAGATACAACTTCAGTTTTGCAGAAAGATAAAAAGGCCATTTGCAAAAATTTATTTTTACCACAAGATGTAGAATTTTTTTTCTATTGCTGAGGTCAAATAAATGTGGGATCCCCCCCCAAAAAAAAAATGGCATGTGCCCAAACTGCATTATTGCTTTTGTAACAGATTCTCTTTGTAATTTTGATTAAGTCATTTAAACTGCTGGCTTGTAGTTGTTGAAGCTGCTATGCTGCTGTAGGATTCAGGCTGCCAGTAATTGCTTCCATTTTATTTACCCTCCATGCATAAAGGCTTTATCAAGATAAATGCACTGGCCTTTCTAAATAAACTAAATGCTGAAAAGACAGGGAACTCTATGAAATCAAATGCAAAGCAAAAAATAAAATCAGTTTATTTTTGTACATTAAATCTAGTACTGCAGCATGAGGTCCAAACCAGAAGAGATGCTGGGAATTTAGTGATCCGAGCTCCAGATTTATTTATTTTTTAAATGTAGCTATCATGTACACAGATGACTGATTCCAAACCGGACCATAGTGCATGGAAAGTGGTTAGGTTGAAGCCTTCTCCCCTGTACTGAGGTTACTGACTTAAAATGTCTCCATGTTTTGTTTTTCAGTAGCAAACTAATTTTGATAATGTGGTTCTAAGGCTTTAATATTTTAGTCACCTCTGGAATGTGGTTATTAAAAACTCATTTCAAAGTGAGGCGTAACTATTATAGGAGAAGATGGGCAGGGGGTTGCATTTCATCCCAAGAGTAGTCAGAGTTATACTTCCTACTGCCAGTTGCTCAGAGAATCTACCTGGACATTTGTAGATTTAAAAAAGTACAAGAGCAGTAGATTTGAATTTATTTGTGCAGAAAGGCTATAGATAATTGTATGCAGGGGTCTTTTGGGGCCGGAGCATGCCGGAGCACCGCTCCAGCATCCCAGGAGCCTGCACTAATGGCGGCGCCCCTAGCTCCCCACGCCAAAAGTGCTGCGGCTCGGGGGAGGCCAGAGAGCCCCACCGCCGCATTCCCCGGGCCCATGCAGGAGTGCTGCGGCTTGGGTGACGCCAGGAGAGCCCCACTGCCGTGTCCCCTGGGCCTGCGCAGGATCGCTGCGGCTTGGGGAAGGCTGGAAAGCCCCGCCACCGTGTCCCCCAGGTCACACAGGAGTGCTGCGGCTTGGGGGACGCCAGGAGAGCCCTGTCGCCGGCTTCCCTGGCCTCTGCCGAAGCAGTAAGTAAGGGATCCGCAGGGGTGGGGGTGGCGGGGGCTTGACGGTTCCCTCCTTTCCTTCTCTCCTTTTCCTCTTTTCCTCTTTCTTCCCTTCTCTCTTTCTTTCTTTCCTGCCTTCTTCTTTTCTTTTTCCTCCTTTCCCTGTTTCCCTCCTTCTTTTCTTCCCTCTTTCCTCCTTCTGTGGCCCAACTCTAGTGAGAAGGGGTTTAAACTTTAAACCCCTTCTCTCTTCGCTCCCCCCCAGGCTAGCTGGGGAAGGGAAGGGGAGGCTTTTGAAGATGCCTCCCCCCCTTTTGCTTCCCCTTCTGACATCACTTCCGGTGATGTCAGAGGGCATGGCATATGCTAATAGTCTAGTGGCTCATTAGCATACCATATGCCAATGAGCTCCTGCAGCTCTTTTTCTACGAAAAGACCCCTGATTGTATGGAAGCATGTTATCTTAATTCACCATATACAGCTGCAGACACATGATGTTGCAAGTTTTATTTCCTGATGTCTGAAAGAAACTTTAATGTGATGTACATTATTATTGCAATCTTGTGGCAAGAAACCCAAAACGTTTTTCATGTTTTATTTTTGCTGATTTTCTTATTATAGACTCTCTGTTCTCTCCTTGACTGTTTGCTGACCCCTGAAAATGTGTCTCTTGATTGTCCGAGAGAACTGTATGAGACATATTTTGGTTTTGCTTGTGTGTGGGCATTTGGTGGGGTTCTCTTTCAAGATCAGGTAAGTGTAAAGCAGTTTACAAAATCCAGTAACTTAGTGATAGATTCAGACAAACAAATTGTTCTAGTGCTCTGTGGCATGTGCAGCAAAAGAATGGTGAGAATCAACAGAATGACTGTATAATAAGCTTTATGGAAAACACAGGGATAAAAGGTAAATCCAGCCAATGGAGAGCCAGAAGACAATCCCAGAAACAGGCTCACCATTGCAGGGCATTTCCTGGGGTCCACATGTTGGCAAAGGATCTACAACAGCCTGCTCCACATTGCTACTTAATGGCTGCTGCGTCTTTTGCCACCGCTTCTTCCTCTGGGCCCAGTCCATCAGTGGCAGGTGGTCCTCCTCACCACCACAAACAGCTCTGTCATGACCCCTAGTGGGTTGCCACCTTCCTCTGCCACCACTCTGGACTTAGGGTCCCTTGGAAGTTCCCTCCACATACTGCTAACTCCCTCCAGGATTCTGTAAATTATCAAGGGCTTGAATAGTGGTTCCAGTGATGTGGCAGTCTTCAAGGCAGAACCTTTCTTTATTGCAAACGGGGCTGCCACCAGTGCAGTAACAAGGAGACGTGCTTCTCTTCACACTTTTGATTGACTAAGGGACGACAGGCTCCACTCCTGCTGGGGTGAAGACAGCAACAAAGTGTATCACTTCCTTCTCCTTCCTTCCTTCTCCTTGGTTAGGGAAGAGCAAGGTGGATTTTTCAAGGTGCTAATAGACCATTGTTGGCTTTGTTTATTGTTTTATGGTAGCCAGCACAACTGATAGCAAGCTTAATCAATATAAGCTCACTGGGATGCCCTGCTTCTTATATCTTCTCTCAAAACAATCAAACATTCCCATTTTTAGTTATGAATTTCTTTTTCTAGTCGTTTCAGCTTTAGAATGCATATATTAAGAAATGTTCCAGACCTGGCTCTGGGATGGGATTGCGTCCAGCTAGTTGGGCACTTTGTCTCCTTTGCCCCCCCTTGGCCTGGGCCTTGTGCCATCACCATTCTTGCAGAGTGGAAGTGGCCTCTGGGGGGCTATGGGCCCAGGTTCGTGTCCTCCCCAGCAGAGGCTGGGTAACAATTTCAGGGGCTGGTGGTGAGACCTCCCTGGCAGGCTCAGTCCCTGCTGCTTTTAGTGCTGAAGGACTACTATCAACAGGTGCCTCAGTGGTGCCAGGCCCTCCTTGATCCAGCTGGTCTTCCTCACCCACCAGGCTTGGCTCCTTGGGCTCCTCCCCTGAAGTCTCAGAGTCACTGGACTGGTCAGAGGGGATCATGACAGGCAGCAGGCACATTGTACAAGCCAGAAAGGCTGATTGACAGACCCGCAGTAGGGCCGTGGGTGGAAATATTACACTTTGTAGAGCTTCTGTCTGTATGTCTGTTGGGGTGGCTTTTGCGCCCTGTCTGAGCCTCTTGCAAGGACTGCTCTTCTTCACATGAGGCTGGGAAGCCCTACTGTGCATGTGTGCCTCAGGATATCCATTATAAAAGGTCCTGTTCTGAGCCAGGGCAGAGGAGAGTGGGCAGAGAGGAGATAGCTTAGCCTCATTCTGAGGGCCGCAGAAGGTCTTGTAAAGTGAGGCACTGGAGGGTACGTCAGCTCAGGATATGAACCTTGATGCCCCTCCTCCCTTACCTACCATTTTGTGGGTGGTCTGGATTTGCAGTTTCATGATTTACATCAGCCACCCACTTTACTATCAGATGAAGGAGAGGAGGAGGAGGAGGAGATTGGATTTATACCTTACCCTTCACTACCCAAAGGAGTCTCAGAGTGGCTTACCATCTCCTTTCCATTTCCCTCCCCACAGCAGACAACACCATGTAAGGTAGGTGGGGCTGAGGGAGCTCTTTCAAGAACTGCTCCTGAGAGAACAGCTCTGAAAGAACTTGTAACTGACCCAAGGTCATACCAGCAGCTGCATGTGGAGAAGTGTGGAATCAAACCCGGTTCTCTCAGATTAGAGTCCACGCCCCTAACCACTATACCAAACTGGCTCTCTATAGTAGTAAAATAATGAATAAACAATTGGAATAACTTTAAATTATTATAAATCACCATCAGACTTGTGGCATGTCCTCTAAGGTATTACATTAGGCAATTAATATTATCTTTACACAGCATAAGAAGCATAACAATAACATACATTATTTTGTAGCTCTCCAATTATCAAGAAGAATTTAGTCATTGGTGGCAGAAAGAGATGAAAGTTGTAAAGTTTCCATCGCATAGTACAATTTTTAATTATTGTATTGACTCAAAGACCAAGAGATTTGTGCCCTGGAGTGACAAAATAGTTCCTGTTCACCTGGATCCAGATACACCCTTGCAGGTATACAGTCTTTTCTAAAATGCAGGCATATTCATTTTATATATGTACAATCTTGTTTGCAGGGAGGGTTTTGCGTTCTGGTTTTTAATCATTTTTCTGTCATAATTTATTTTACATGCTTTCACGGTCCTTTTATGATGGAAGAGTAGGATAAAAATATTTTAACAAAAATAACTCAAATGTTTTAAATTCTTTTTTCTGATAATACCTCTTATTAAAATATAACTCTTTTGCACACATTGATTAGACTATGCTTTTTTATCTGGTAGCTGGAGAAAGAAAAATAATGCTAAGCAACTGATTAAATTTGTGTTGTGGAAGATTTCTTACAAATACCATTTTAATTTTTACATGTGTCAGTAAACAGTGGGCTCAGATAGATGAGATTGTGGAGATCTGTGCTGGGTTCTTCAGAAGTCTTTAATTGTTATTAAATGCATCCATTTAGGGAATAAAGAGAAAACATACCTGTCTCTGCCATAGCCTAGTTCCTCAGATGGAGTCATGCAGACTCAAAGGGATGCATGCATATAACTGCTTCCTCTGTTGAACTGACAGGAATAACCCTTGAAAGTTACAGTGCTTTTTGGTTATATTAGAATACCCATCCCAACAGCACATCAGTGGATGACAGCAATTACTTTCATGGCATGTTCTTTCCATCTGTCATGTTTTTATCCTTCCCTACCTCAGAGATGCTCAGGCGGGCATACATATTTTGGGTCTTGAAAACAGCATGTGGGGGGAGACAGGGAACCCCTCACCCCCCTGCACCGTAATCCTCAGCAGGATTGGGCTCCCAAGGTGGTTTGAAAAATTAAAAAACAAACTCTTAAATGGTACTGCATTTCCATGACAAACTTAGGGATGTGATATTGTCTAGCTGGTCCCTGAGAAATTGATTGTCCCAAAGTTTCATGGCAGAATGGGAATTTGAACCTGGGACTTGGCACCGTCATATTACACTATTTATTTTCTTTTGGTACCTCAGGCAGTCCTTGTTCACACATCGGAGACCACATGTCTCAAATATTTTACTAGTTTACTGTTGGAGAAAAGCAAGCCTGTGATGCTAGTTGGAAATGCTGGAGTGGGGAAAACAGTATTTATTGGGGAATGCCTTGCTGGCCTTTCTGAGGATTTCCTGGTATCCAAAGTTCCCTTCAACTATTATACAACATCAGCTGCACTACAAAGTAAGTTGCTCACAAATGGCATTGTGTAAAATGAATGATGACTCTTCAGAAATCATCAAAAAGAAAGAAAAGAAAAGCAATATCACAATGATTAAATAGATTAATTAAAATGGATTAATCAGAAATAATGTCCATATTTTTCCTTATTTATTTGTTATTTATGACTTTATTTTATTTAAAACATTTTAATACCACCTTACCACACAGTCAGGGTCCAATAGGTGGTGAGCATAAAAACACTGAAACAGTTAAACAATTAAAACGCAGTTTAAAATATAGCATTCAATTAAAAACACATAAACATCACTAGAAGCAGGGCCGGCCTGGCATTGACAAATGTTAGACCGCTGCCTAGGGCAGCAGCTCGACAAGGGTTCCACTCTGGCCAGCCTGCCGCCCCACCTTTCCCATTATGCTCTGGCCCGCATGTCCCGCTGGTGGGCTCCCTTTCCCTTGGCTGGCCGGCCTCATCCCCTCCTCGCCCCACACAGGAAACGAAGCACCCCAGGGTGCGCCTCCCTTGCCAGCCGGAGCGCCTCCCCCCTGCGATTCAGCAGCACCGTTCAGGGAGGCGAAGAAACGCACCCCCCACCCTAACCCCGGGCCCCTGGGGAGCCTCCGGCCTGCTTTGGCTCTCGAGGGAATGCGAAAGGGAGGGGGAGGTTTCCCACAAGGTCTGAAGCGGCTTTTCCTCACTGAAGGCAGAAGAGCCGCAGAGGCTTCCCGACGGGGCAGGGGAGTGGGGGGTGCACCATGCAGCTTTCCCGAAGCCTCGAGAGAGCCATACTCACCACAGTCTCCTCCACCCCACTCCCTGCCCAAAGGGGCTGATGACATCGCCCTGCAAGACCCCGACAAGGCTGCAATTGGCACCGGGGGGGACTGGAAACTGGCCGGCTGCTGCTTGCACGTCTGAGCGCTGTCCGGGAGGCCCAGAGTGCCCCAAGAGGAAGGCCTGTGGGGGGGAGAAGGAGAAGTGACCATCGGAGCACAGGAGCCAGCCAGGATCTACAGGGGGGCGCACCAGAAGGTAGCCTCGCCTATTGTACAAAAAAACCTTGAGCTGGCCCTGACTAGAACGAGGGCCAAAAAAAATTATTGGGGGCACACCAGATGTTTGGAACACATGATGTTTGGGTGGGAAACGGCATGTGCCAGCAGCCAAGTTTTGTAATAAATGTTCTTAAACATTACAAACATACAACATGTAGTCCTGTCTGGTGGTTGCTGGGGAACACTGGGTGCTGGTCCCTGAAACAGCACAGATACCTTTTCCATGATATAGGCCTAAATTGTATATATAATTTCTTTGCACTCCATTCTTTTCATATACATATATGCAATGCTGATCTTTTTGTTGGTTAACAAAAGATTCCTGAAAGCTGCAAACATCCATGTGCAATTACATGCTTGTCCCTCCTGGCTCTAGCAGTGAATTCAAATATTTTATATTCTGTGGCAAAAAAGTGAGGAATGCAATTTATTGACATGATTATGGTGTGTCTTACGCCCTCACAATTTTTTCACGTATAAATTTTGAATGCTTCTCAAATATCTTATTATTCTTCATACTATACCCATGGGGCACAGTGAAAAAGCATTGCAGCAGCAAGCAATACCGCTAGTTAATACCATTTTTAAAAACTATAATTCAAGCCCTAAGACTTTAAAACCTGCCGGAGAGGTCAGTGAACTCACTCGATTTACCTGCTGTTTTAATAAGATTATTACAGCACAGTAAGTATTTTATGTATTAAAACATCGGTTACCCAATTTTAGTATTAGGACAATAATAATACTTAATAGAGCTTATGAAATAGTCCTCACCAAGAAAATCTTTTTCTTTTATTCTGTGTTTTTTATTCAGAGATATTTTCTTATATTGTTTGTTTGAGTATGTGTGAGGGAGAGAAGCACTTTAATTTTTAGCTGCCCTCAAGGCTAATCATTGCTTGCTGCAGTTCTGCAGCAATTAACAGACATATTCAATAGTTGTTATAGTAGTAAGTTTGTGTGGGCATTTCAAAGCTAGCACCTGAGAACAAATTATGACATGTAAAAAAATGCTTTATTCTTAAACTCTGGATGATTCTTGGAACAGGCCATCAAAAACTGCTGCTACTTTTGTTCATTTCAGTGAGACCTACTTGTATCAGGCCTGAAAGTATTAGTGCAGGAACCTAAAGCTTAGGGTTATCACAGAGCCTCCTATGCTGGCACTAGAAAGTTGCTAAATCATGCAGTAAAGTGTTAATCATTTTTAATAAGAAAAATTCAATTAATGCTGTATCTCAGCAAGAAGTTTAAATGTTAATTATAAAATGTGCTCTTTTGGGGAGTGTGACTAACTTTTTGAAAAACCAGATTGGTGGTAGTCATCATGTTGGGGCTAGGGATTTATTTGAAGGAAAAGAGTGGCAGGGCAGGAAAGAGAATATTCATGGTTCTGTACCTTTTTGTCACGAACGTGGTACCAGGCCAGGCGAGAGCAAGATAGTTCAAAGGCAGTCCAAAGTAAAAACCAGGCAAGCAGAAACACCGAGAGACCAAGTCCAAATCACCAACCGTTAGAGTAGTCGTTAAAGCCAGAGTCCAAAGAATTCAGAAGCCAGGGAGTCGAAGGTCCGAGGTACAGGTCAGGAGCGTAGTCGTACAAGCCGAGGTCAGGAGCCGAGAAGTCAAAAACGAGGAGTCGGAACAGGAACACAAGTGGTGAGGTGCAAAAGCTTCGTCCAGAATGACTAGTTGCTAGCATAACTAGTCGGCATGAGTGTGAGAGCTAAATAGCCCATAAGGTTGTCGGCAATTAGCGCGCCCTGATTGTGTCCCGCCTCCCACTTGTACTCAAGGCTAAAAGAGCACCTACCACACATGCGTGCATCCCGCCGCCGGGATGCCATGTCTCATCGGCATTGTTCCCGCAAATGGGATACCAGTGGGGGCAAGTCAGCGAGCGTGTTGCTTTGGCGTGAATCTGCTTCAGCTGTTGCTGGAGCAGTTTCCGTGGCTTCAGTCCTGTCAGGTGCGGGGTTTTCAGGAGCCAGGAGCTCATCCCCAGCAGTACTTAGGTCTTCTGCTGGGGCCAAGTGCTCAGGTTCCGCAGCAGTTCAGCAGCAGCCATGACACTTTTCTCATTACTAAACTGACCTCCCCAGCTGCCAGTATGCCTGCCAGTCCCCAGGTTGGGGCAGGAGTTTCCCTGGTTTTCGGGGATTTAGCCCACTGCCAGGCAGCTGGCCAGATGGGGAAAAACCCACCCCAAACTGCCACATCCCCGTGTGAGTTATCCAGCGTGATGATGTCACCAGGGATGCTCTGGTTTTAGGGCAAAACTATGGTTTTAAAAACCCACCCCCAAACTGCCACATCTTTGTGTGACTTATCCAACGTGATGATGTCACCAGGGATGTTCTGGTTTTAGGGCAAAACTATGGTTTTAAGCCAGTTTACCATAGAGTTTTGCCCTCAAACCAGAGCATCCCCATGTGACATCCCTGGCATTATGACATCACTTCTGGGTGACATCATCATGTCAGGGACATCCCGGAATGTCCCCTCCCTAAAATCCTTCCACCAGAGTGACAAGGGGATCTGGTGACCCTAGCTGCCAGATATCCTGGCTGCCCCTGCTATTTTCAGTCCACTGGGGCTGTCAGACAGGCTACATATACTGCATCTTGTTTCTAGACAGGAGGTAGTTCTTTGTGGCCTGCTGTCAGTGGCAGGGGCAGGCTATCCTTAAAAGGCAACACTAAAGGCAGGCCATTTCAGGAAACCAGTCAGGGCAAGTTAGTCCTTATGTTTACATTAAGTAAATGGCTTCTGTATTTATTTTGCCCATTATTGGAATAGTTTCATTTTGGACTATGTAGATCTGGCTATTGAACAGTAAGAATGCCAGTTGAGGAACTGGGATTTAGCCTATTCTGGATGGGGTTGCAGCCCCCCTTCCATACAAGAGATGGGTTCATATTTCAAGGGTGCTGTTAGAGGCTGGCTATCCCTGGGGGAGGTAGCATCTTCAATCAGCTTCTGTGGATTCACCAACTGCAGCCATTCCTTGAAAAGCATGGAATGGCCACAATTACTACTCTCTAGTAACTTCCTGATTAGATTACTGTGGGTGTGGATTTACATACTGCTTCTTTTGAGTATAGTTTAGACATTTTAGTCTTGGCAAGAATTATGCAAAGTATGTTTTTCCAGGATTTAAAGGACGTCACTGGCTGCCATTTGATTGCAGGCTTAAGTCAAAGTCCTGGTTTTTACTCTGGTTCTAGAACATGTTTTTAAGAGTGTACAAGGGACCGCCTCCTCCCATGTGATTCTGTCCAGCAGTTAAAGTTTATGTTGCATAGCTCTGTGTGCTCCTAATTTCAGGGGTGAAACAGGTGGCTACTTCTACTTCTCTGTTGTGGTACTTCAACTGTAGAATGGCTTTCTCAGCTTTCTTTGCCTGACCTCAAAGCCAATATTTTTGATATTAGGTTAAAATCTATTTTGTTTGCTGGGCATTTTAAAATTGTCAGGTATTTTTGTTTTTGTGTTGTTCTATTGCTGTTTCTGCCACCAACCCAGCTAGAATAGTTTAATTTTTAACTGCCATTTTAGTGATTTTTGCATCAGTTTTTAGATCAATTCTTTACTGCTATTTCAGTATAACCGTTGGCTTAGTTTAACTTTCAACTTTAGTGCTTCTATATTTTATCACATTTTTTCATTTGCTGGAAACTACTTCAGGAGTATGGCGTGTACTAATATTTGTAATAAATTAATATACAATTTAGGGATTCTTGAGAAACCCTTGGAGAAAAAAGCTGGCCGTAACTATGGTCCAGTGGGAAACAAGAAGCTGATTTATTTCATTGACGATGTAAACATGCCTGAAGTAGATGTGTATGGAACAGTTCAGCCTCATACACTGATTCGGCAACATATAGATTATGGGCATTGGTAAGTGACTATCTCAAACTTGGGCTTGTTAAGTCTAGGTGATTCAAGTTAAATATGAATAAATGTTCCTCTGCATTAGTAATGCTTGGGATAAAAAAATATGAATCTAGGTTTATTTTCTGGTTTCCCATATAATTGGAGAGTATTAATTTACCCATACAGCAACATCTGGTTGCTAGAAATTAAGGCTTAGTACCATGGAGGGATGGTGGCATGGTATACCTGATCTCATCAGATCTCAGAGACTAACTAGGGTCAGTACTTGAAAGGGAGACCACCAATGCATACTCTGCAGAGGAAGGCAACAGCTAACCTCCTCTGCTTCTCATTTGCCTTGAAAGCCTCTTGCTGTGACTCAATGGCACTTCAGACGCACAAGGCTTAGTCCCAGTGGTAAATTCCTGCTAATAAAAGAAGGGTAATTTTTGCCAATTCCCCCCTCCCACTGCAGATCTCCAATTCATTCTGTTTTTTAGGGTTCTGTGTCCCCTAGGAGCAGCATTTTAGGGATCATTTTGGGCTTCTGTGGGAAGGATGAATTGAGAAATGTGAATTTAGGAAGTCCATTCTGTCAGCAGAAATCACTTCTAGATCCAACCCAAACTGTCATTTATCTGAAATGATTTAGCTTAAGTTTTAATTGAACATTAGAAGTGGACACATAGTCTTCAGGCCACCTACAAAGGTAAATGAGTCATGTGTTATTCCCACTTGTAATACTCCAGCTCTAAATAACTTCTAATTTAATTATAATATATTTTAAACCATTTTTCATCTCTTAGGTATGATAGGCAGAAGTTAAGTGTAAAGGAGATTCATAATTGTCAGTATGTTGCCTGTATGAACCCAACCGTTGGCAGCTTCACAATCAACCCCCGACTCCAAGTAAGGCTACAAGTGTTGTGTAAAGTATATGTGCATTGCTTACAGTAGGGATTTCAAATTCAGATGGGCAAAAGGCCAAAGCACCACCCAATAGAAGCTCAGGGGGCCAAAAAAAACAATTAGCTTCTCTCAGTACCTGGATGGGAGACCACCAAGGAAGACTTCAGAGGAAGGCACATTCCCGTAGTGCCAATTTTAGAGTGCTAATGGAAATGTGAATCTGTTTTTGTGTAAATGTTTGCAAAAAATGGGTAGCAGGAGGAAACCAGGTTTTCTTAAGGATGTCATGGAGATTACAGCCTAGGGATTTGTCTAGAAAGTGACTGAACACACAAGCTTTCCAATTGGAAACAAAAGCCTTTCTGCTCCTTTGGAGGCTGTTGTTTAGTAAATACAAACAGGACTGTGAGGAGTCTCCTTTAGAAGATGCTAGGAGGTTTCTAGTTGGGTTTTTTCCTGATGCAACGAGTGTTGACAAGAATGGCACTTGAAAACTGTTTCTCGAGAACTGGTTTGAAACATAAATGGCTTAAGCAAATTTGTGTCGAACCCTAATTATTCAGCTTTATTCTCATCTTAAATTACTCATCTGTTTAATTATAACTGATTCTGATAACTATATTGCAAAAAAATATGTTTTTTCTTGATGCTTTTAGAGACATTTTGCAGTGTTTGCAATGAACTTTCCATCCACTGATGCTTTAAGCACTATCTACAGCAAGATCCTTGATTTCCACTTCCAGCGGCATGCCTTTAATCCATCAATGCTAAAACATGGGGTTTCTGTGATCCAGGCAGCAATATGGCTTCACCAGATAATGGTTCAGAACTTTCTACCCACAGCTATTAAATTCCATTATATTTTCAATCTCCGAGACCTCTCCAGTGTCTTCCAGGTCTGTAACTGGTCTATGTATTGGATATTCACTACTCATGCATGTGTTTGGACACCTCATTCCTGATTAGGTACAGACACATGTGTTTTTTTGTATGTTATATAGGCAAGTCATAGCATTGTAAGGTTTTTTTTTTAATCTGATCCTCTCTTTAAGACACACAGACAGGTGATTTGAATGAAAACTCTTGTTTTGGGTTTTCAGAATTACAGGTTATAATCTGCCTCCTTGGACTGTTTATGAAAATTCTGAAGTATCCAGGAACATCTTGTCTTAATTAAACTTGCTTGTTATTGAGGCACAAACTAAATGTAATGGCAGCAGACCTGTTTTGTTTAAAACTGGGGTTGCCCAGATCAGACATAAAGAAGGAGGCCACCAGACCAAACTGGGTATAAGGAGTTAAAGCCTCTCTCCTCTACCGTCTTGCTTCTCTGCAATTTATCCCCAGAATTATTTTTCCCCTCCAGCTTGTGAAAAAGGATGTCATCCGGGGGCAGCGGTTGCCAAGGAGGAGGCACTGCATAGAAAGAAGCCATGGGAGAGGTCGTGATTCATCTGTCCTAACCTGGGCTCCCTATTAAGTCTTAAAATTAGTCCCACTTCCTGCTTTATACATGATTGTGACAGCTCTGGTTTAACAAATAAGTTTGCTGTTGTCCTGTGTACTTTGGTCCATAAAGACAGGTCAGTCTTGTAAGGCTTTTTTATTTGAAGTTATGAAGACTGGATTTCTCTAATAAAAGAAGGAAAGCAAGAAAATCATGCTGATTGCATTAAAATAAAAATGAGACTCTTACAACCATACAAGTTTTCAAGAGACAACAAATTCTTTATCATGTGAAAGTGAATTTGGCTCAACAGCACACTATCAGTAACCAAATGTATCACCAGGCCTTAGTTTGAGTTATTCATTGGTGCTTTGCCAGAACTATTTTTCCTACTAAGTCTCAGGATTGGCAGCAATGAGTAATAACAAAGTTACTTGTGAACACGTACAGTGTAACGTATTGTCAGTACAGAATTACCAGAAGAAGTCCCAATATTTCTGTGGCTAGGCAGGAAAGCTTCAAGTAAGAGGGTGTAGTTTTCATTCAGTATTAAGCTCTCACACTCCTCCTCTTAGAAAGTAATCCTGTGCACAGCTGCTCCAGTCTGGAGTAACTGTGTAGGATTCTACTGTAAACCTCGTGATGCTCTCTTATGCAGTTTGTACCAGTTATATGAAGGTTTTTAAGTACAATTCTTGTTGCATTATTTTTAGGGGATTCTGTTTGCTAAACCAGAATGTCTAAAGCATCCAAATGATCTCATACGTCTGTGGTTTCATGAGTCTTCTCGTGTTTATGGAGATAAATTGGTGGAAGCAAAAGATTGCAATTTCCTTCATAAGAAATTGGTTGACACTGCACATAAATATTTTGAGGTAAGGCTGTAGACTGGCAATTTACCTACTATTACAGTACTTCTGTGCTGAAAACTTCACTGAGACAATGTGAATCTCCAAAGATCCAGAGAAGAATGTGGAGCCCAAATAATAAGCGGACCACTGAGTTCTGACCTGTGGTGTGTGTGTGCGTGTGCGGTTTTTACTTTCTATTCTTATTAACCTAAAGGCAATCAGAGTGTCGAGTTGATAACAGAGGATTTCGTATGAGAAAGGGAACAATAATATGGGGCGTGTGCGGTTTTTACTTTCTATGCTTATTAACCTAAAGGCAGTCAGAGTGTTGAGTTGATAACAGAGGATTTAGTATGAGAAAGGGAACAATAATATGGGGCTCATCTGAGAGATGTTCACATATGTCCTATAAGGACAAGTCAGATTCCTGCTCTAATAATAGAATCCACAAAGTAGTTACAGAATCAGTAATTCTGCTAATTAGAGAATTGTTTAGATCAACAGCAAAGTAGCATTTCAACCTTAATGATTTTATTATGCCTGGTCGCCTGTAAAACAGTGACATACAATATCACTAAAGACAATTATAGGAAGAAACAAAACGGCCAAAAATTCAACTCCAGATCTGTTGAGATAGTGTCATGCAGATCGTGAAAAACTGGGGGACTCTTTGCTATCATATCCAGACTTAGGGATGATTCTGAAATTCCCTTCCTCCAAATTTCCTCTTTGACTTTGGGATCTTATCTTTTCCTGGTTGCAGAATAGTGCCAATTCATTAGCTATTTGCTATTTTTTCAGCTTTGGTTTTTAGAATTTGTAGACTGCTACAATATACCATGGTAAATAATATTAGGCTTACTGAGAATTGTGTTCAGCATTGCTCACTGTGTCCACCTACTTTGTTTACTGCATACTAGTGGAACTGGATATGACCAGGGGAAAATGGAATTCCCCACCCCATTTTTTACTTACAGTACTATCATAGCAGACAGGTATGGGGTAATCATCTGATGGGAAGTAATGCCTGCTGTTGCTCCCCTGTGACCTCCACATGAGGGCTTCAGTTTCCTTGCCCCAAAACTAGATGCTGGAAATAGAAGTAAGAATTGTTATGGACTCTCTTTCCTTACCCGCTCAGTTGCTCACCCCCACCCCCACCAGTCGTGGTTGTTCAAGTTCCATGCACTAAGGCTGCTAGGAGTAAGATCTGTTTGAAAAACTTACTCCTTTTAGTTTTTAATCTCCGGATAAAAGGTGGTAGCTGCCGCCACCACCGGAAGCATCATACTGGGTTTGAGTTTGATCAGTAGTAGACCAGTGCCAGTGCTTCTGTATTCACTTTAATGGAATGTAAGCTCAAGCTTGTAAGTGTACGTGCATCAGTGAAGAGGCCTGGCTTTTCCCTATCTGGCTTTGCTATCTGTTCCAGCACCTCTTCTAAAAGTAAGTGAAGCTGGTTAGTGACCAAGCCATCACCCTCTTGGGTGAGTTTTTCTTAAGAGTATTATTTATTTTTTATTTATTTATTAAATTGGATTTACTAGGCCATCCTTCCCTACAAGTAGGGCTCAGGGCGGCTTACAACAGGATAATATACAATCTCAGATTAAAATAAATTAAAACAAACCAATATATACCTATACGTAAAACAACATTATCAAAGTGGCAGAAATACAGCATATATAAGATGGTGGAAAAAACTCCCGCACCCCAGCCTCCCTGGGGGGAGGGGTTACAAGAGATGGGGACGTGTGAAAGTGCCAAAGGCTACCCCCGCTGCTGTCCTCAACTGAAGGCCCAGCGGAATATCTCTGCCTTGCATGCCCTGTGGAATGGTAACAACTCCCACAGGGCATGGATGTCTTCCAGCAGAGTGTTCAGAGTGCTCCCCCTAAAGCCAGTTCTTAGGTATTGATTTTATTCACTAAGCATGCATATGAGAAAAAACACAGATATTTGGAATCAATCTATTAATAGCTGAAATTATTACAGGACTCCAGCAAAATACATGAAAATGCAGGTGCTAACTAGATCTATTTATGTCTAAGCATTCTTCTCTCTAGGGATGGGTGCAAAACCTTGTCAAGAAGCTTTTCGAAGCTGGTCCTTGGAGCTGCTAGAGACTTGAATGGTCTTGCTTGCCTATTTATTGAGTTTTCCTCTAGGTTGAGAGTCCCCTTCCTGGGCCAATCAGAACTCAGGATACAGATTATAATTCCCTCCAAGGAGACTTTGACCCATCAGTTCAAAAATATAGATTAAAGTGGTGTCTCCTCACCAAAAATTAGTCTTATACGGACATTCAAGTATGCCCAGGGTGGGTGGAGATGAAGACCAGGAATACTTTTTCAGTACAAATGGATGAAATACATATGTTGCTTCTCCTCCTCCTCTCCTGCATCCATCATAGTAAAACTGTCAGCCTCCTTCCTGGAATGTAGCATGAAATCTTATTGTCTGCTTTGAACAGATATGCCTATGTTTTCCTAAAATTATATTCATCCATAACAAAAATAGCTGTGGAAAAGATGAGGGGGATGGCAGAATAGTTGCTCCCCTGCAGTTGTCTCCTCAGTACCTCGGATTAGGACACACATTTGCATAAATAATGTCTAGTTTCACAGGAGAGAACTGACACAGGTTGACCTTTTTTCTCAGGTAACAAAGGTGCCCTTAAAGGTAAAGCCATATGGTTCAGCAGAAACCCATAATCTCACCCATTGTGCCCTTGACAATTAAACCTGTAAACTCAGAAATTCATTTAGCAATCGCTGATCTTGGCAGTGGGTGGGGCATTTTCTGCATATTCAAGATAAGATTAAATACATTTCCGAGTTTTTAAAAAACGTCTTTTGATTTTATGCTGCCAACTGACTAGGGTGTGGAAGATCATATTCTTCTCCAGCAACCACTTATTTACTGTCATTTTGCAAATGGGGTGGCAGACCCTAACTACATGCCTGTCAAGAATTGGGACATGTTGAGAAAGATACTTGTGGAGACTCTTGAAAACTACAATGAACTGAATGCATCAATGAACTTAGTTTTATTTGAAGATGCCATGCAACACATGTAAGTACATGTCCGATTAGCTGATAGAGATAATTATGTACACTTGATATATTCCAGTATAGACTTACCCATTTTAGTATGCAGAGCACTGAACCATCCATAGAAATGCTACTACTGCACAATTTTTATTTTTATGGTGTAACACTTTGGTTAAGAGAACAATCTATGAAACTGAAAGTCCCTGGTACTAGTCTAGTTCCAGCCATGGCCTCACTGAGCAGCCTTAGACAAACAGCTGTCCCTCAGCCTCAAGTCCTCATTTGTAGAATGAGTACGGTACAGTGTGCTGTTGGACTGCAACCAACTCATGATGAGTTTTCAAGGGAAGAGATGAGCAGAGGTGGTTTGCCAATGCCTTCCTCTGCATAGCAGCCCCCATCTTCCTTGGTGGTCTCCCATACAAGTACTAGCCCTGCTTAGCTTCCAAGCTGTGGTGTGATCAAATTAGTTTAGGCTATTAGGGCTGCTACATTTGTAGAACGGAGATGTAGAAATACATCTTGTTTCCTCTGCACACTTTGCTTCCCTGTCCTGAAGGCAGTTGGGCAACTTTGCATTTCTATGAAATGAAAGAAAGGATTTGTGTGAGGGAGTATTCTAAATGATAGTGTTAAAGCTACTGTTGCTTGTCCATACTTCCAAACTGTGTCCAAGGTAATCATCTACACTTTTATAGTGCTGTTGCAAGCTGGGTCAGTTTGACCCAGTAGATCACAAGGCTGCTGTTTGAAACCACTTTTAACTATACTGCAAGACAGCAATCTGTAGTCTTACTTGACAGGATATAATCTTCCTCAGGTAGGTCCCATCGGCTGTGGCGGTCATTCTCTTCAGGAGAGCCATCTTTCTACCGCAACAGCTATGCTAGTGTGTCTACCTCTTTGGGCCAAACTACAGGTTACGGTGGCCACCTGCCTGTGGCCCCTGCTGCCAATTTAGAAGCATTTGTAGTTCTTTAAAAATTGCCCAGGGCATGTGGCCATTATCACTATTTTTTAAAAATGTATTTTATTACATTTTCAAAAGTCATCACTTTTAGTATAGCCCCTTGTTACATGGTTATGGACCTCAACGTGGCAGGAATTATGAAACATCCTTTGCAATTCAGTCCCCTCTGTTATGTTCTTTTTAAAGTAGAGAATAAATGTATGACAAAAACTTAAAATGAGAAGAGTAATTAACTTGCTCAGGATGTTATAGCACGTGGAAATTTTTAGTACTTTTGTGCTCAACAACTTCATAGAGGCTCATAAGCCTGAGCCTGCTATATGGGGAGGGTGGGATATAAATCGAATAAAATAAAAATAAATGAATAAGAAACTTTTAAAATTATATCCCTTTAGCACTATAGTCTGGGAATGATTTTTGTAGTGACAAAAGTACTAAGCTAGAACCTGTCTAATTTTATCATGACCCACTGTGGTCACATCTAATGACCAAAAGTATTCTTTCTTACAAGAAACGAACAAAACAAATTGCAAAATAATAATATAGGTTTTGTCATACTCTGCTGTTATAAACTGCTTTTTTCATCATCAGCTGTCGTATTAGTCGAATCTTGGAATCCTCTTGTGGTTATGCGCTTTTGGTTGGAGTAGGGGGCAGTGGCAAACAAAGCCTATCACGACTGGCTGCATTCATTGGATCTCTTGAAGTGTTTCAAATTACACTGAAGAAAGGCTATGGGATTCAGGACCTCAGGGTAAATCTAAATATTACATCATTGTAAGAATTGCTAGATCTGAATCAGTGCAACATGGAACCTGAGCAGCTGCAATGAGAATAGAAGCAAAGCATTGCATTCTTTATTTGCTATATGCATATCTTTCTTCCATCATGGAACCCATGTCTTAAATAAGATTCCCAGGCATTCTCCCATCCAGAAACTGACCACAGGCAGGCTTCCTTTGTTTCAGCAAACTTGTTATATCCTGTACCATCTTACTATACCCTGCATGGTTTACATTCCCTAATTTAAATGTAGAAACCAGGGGCATATCATCTTCACACTCTCATTGTTCACCAAAGTTTCTCCCCTCCCATTTGGGTAAATATTACTTGCAAACTCTATTGGTCTTTTCTCCACCGTATTCAGGTAGACCATTCTAGAAAGTAGCCAGTCAACAGTGCAAAATTAAGAACTGTAAAGGGTGGGGATATCTGTAGCTAGATGCAAGGTTTGTGTCACTACACAAGTGACACAAAGAACTGCTTGGGGCACCAGGTGTTGATTTGGGAGAGGTGATGGTGTAGCTTGCTCTTGTCATTGCATTCAAGACACATGCAACCACTTCCCAGTTCCAAAATGGGCTGCAATAGTATCACTTTTGGAGTTCACCTTGGATGTGGCTGGGGTGGCATGGGTCTTGAATGCAATGACAGGAGCAAGCCCTGTACCCATGCCACCAACATCTGGGTCCAAGGCAAGCTCCAGAAGTGCTGTTTCTGGAGATCACTTTGGTCTAGATGGGATTGTACAGGAGAAAAGTGCTTCTGGTAGCAAAATGCCTTGAGCTGGCCTGATTAGGTGGCAGAAAGCTGGCCGTGAAATACGGTGCTTCAGTATGGCTCAACAGCCCCATGTCCAAAAACTTGATGTCCAACTCAACACAGCAATAAGAACCATAGAGTTGCATCTCTCCAACCTCATTGACTTCAATAGTCTTGAAAGGGTGTGGCTCTTAGGATTATACTGTGAGATAACCTACCATTTCGGGTTGTCTGCACTGTAGCCTAACACAACTCAAGTTCTATGGGTCCTATGGGTATGTTCCATTGGCACAGCAGTGGCTTCTACCCAAGATAATGACTTTTCAATTTTTGGAGGAGAAAGCAATTTTTGCTCTTCTACCCTCCACTGCAGGCTCCCAAATATCCCCCCCCCCTGTTCCTTTGAATCCGTCAGTCTGAAGGAACACGATTTGGGGGGCAAAGAAGGCTTCAGTGAGAAGGGGCAGGTGGGCAAATTGCCTTCCTCTAGTACAACTTGGTACTGCATTGGGTCGACCCCAAATCTCAAAGGTGCCTTTTTTCTGTCCTCCATTATATATTTATTTATTCTTCTACTTACTTTGGCATTAAAGGCTAATTATGGCTTCATCTAGATATCATCAACAATCCTTGGTTTGTTTGCAACAAGGACAAGCCACGAGATCCTTGGACTGACACACTCCCTTCCTCTTGCCCTTATGCGTGGTTTAGAAATTTAAGATTCCTGGTTCTCAACAAACCACAATTTGTTGTTTCATTTAAATCAGTTAGCCAGTAAAAGAACAAGCCACAGTTTGTCTTTGTTCCGTAACAATCTGCCCTTAACTTCAAAATAGTCTAAAATTTCCCAGATATGTGTATGAGAAGAGGGAGGAGGGAGTGCACATTCTCATCATTTAAAGAAAATGCAAGGTGCAAAAAAACAGCACCTCAGATAATATGGATGTAGTTGGCTGACTGTGCTTTACCTGTGGATGACTGGCAAGAATTTTGCTTTTCTGTCATTGTTTTGGACTGTCCTTTCATTTTTTAAAAAATCTCAGAAAATATATGTACCTGCACATTCCCACCACACTAAGGTGCACTTTCAACATTCGCCCAGCTATAAGGCAATCACTTATCCATAACAGATCCTGCATGGTTTCGGGCTGCATCTAAAGGACCCATCCATGTGGACTGAATCAAGTGCATAGGTCTTTTTCTAAGAGGGAAGGAACTAATTTTTTGGGGAAAATATATTTCTCTGCCCATGGAGTGAATTAGACAGTCATCCAACTGTTTTTGGAGCAGCTGTTCCTATGCTGCTCTGGAAAACATTTAAGGCATACATGTTCAGTGACATCTTCTGACTTAAACAATTGTACAAGGAACTTACTTATACATAGATTTCCATGAATGCAGCACATTTCCTTCTTTGTGAATACATTTTTATAATGTTCTTGCAAATAAAATGAGTGTGGAATGGAATACTTGTGAAGTGGCAGTATTGGCAAGGCTAAGAATGGAGTTCCTTGATTTAGCATCAATTTCCTGAGTATTATGAGGAAGATTTACTTTTATTACATTGCTGTTTAATTTTCACCCTATAGTCTTATCAAGCCACATCTGGTGACTTTAAAATCAGAGGTAGATTTTTAGGGGCAAAATCCTATGGATAAGGATGAATCATATTTAGGATATGTAAATAGGAAGTGTGAAACATCAATGTATTGCTTTCAAGTTTTTTCACGTGTTATCCCTTTTTACCCCTTCTTGTTTCAGTTCTGTAATGTAACATGAATAATTGCCTTCTTTCCTTACAGGTAGATCTTGCCAATCTGTACATCAAGGCAGGAGCCAAGAACATTCCCACTGTGTTTTTGCTGACAGATGCTCAGGTTCCAGATGAACACTTTCTTGTGCTGATTAATGACTTGTTGGCGTCAGGTGATTAGACCTACACGTTTCTTGAAAGATCTTCCCAATGACAAATTATCTGGGGTTTCAATGAACTTTAAAAGGAGGATTATTTGTCTTTGACATGTTTTCCGTGCAGGTGGGGTGCCCTTTGGGAAAAGGCATCTCAACCCAGCTAACTTCAGTACTCTGCCTAGTTTGCTTAAATAGCAAACAATGTTGTTCCTCAGACGCTAATATCAAGGTCATGTGTTGCATAGGCATAGGTTCTGTTCATTGGTGTTGCTTGTATATTGGTTCACTTCTGCTGACCTAACTGGATTGACTGAGGAAGCAGTTTCTATGCATTTTAGATCTTCTGCTTGTCCATATCCATAATGTGGTGCTTGGAGACAGGTGGTGCTTGGAGAGAGGATGTCACCTTGATGCCCCCTGGTATGTGGGGTCCTTCAGGGAGCAGTCCTCTCCCCAATGTTGTTTAACATCTACATGCACCCCCTCGCCCAGCTGGTGTGGAGTTTTGGGCTGGGCTGCCATCAGTATGCTGATGACACCCAACTATATCTGCTGATGGATGGCCGACCGGACACTACCCCAAGCAATTTGACTGAAGGGCTGGTTGAAGCAGAGCCAACTGAGACTGAATCCGTCTAAGATGGAGGTTCTGTGGCTGGGGAGGGGGAACTCAGGATTGGGGTGCCAGCTCCCATCTTTAGATGAGGTGCCACTAAAACCAGCACCCACCATCAAGAGCCTGGGTGTGCTTCTGGATGCCTCCTTATTGATGGAGGCCCAGATCATGAATTTTGCCAGACTGGCATTTTTTCAACTCCACCCAGCCAGGCAGCTGGCCCCCTTCATGTCTCACCCCAACCTAGCCACGGTAATCCATGCAATGGTCATCTCTAGGTTAGACTACTGTAACCCTCCTCTACATATCCCTACCCTTGAGGCTGGCCCAGAAGTTACAACTGGTCCAGAACACAGCGGCATTGGTTCTTACCAGAGCCCCATTAACAGCACATATCCAACCAGTGCTCTGCCAGCTGCACTGGCCCAGGTTGAATTACCAGATCAGTTCCAAGTCTTGGTACTAATCTTTAAGGCCTTAAACGGTCTGGGACTGATGTACCTTCACGACTGTTTTAAACTATATCTGAATGTTGTACACCACCCTGAGCCCCAAGTATTTGGGGGAGGGCAGTCTAAAAATAACATTTATAAATAAATTATCAATTGTGTTTTAGAGCAATAGTGAAATATCAGTGAAGTGTCCCAGATTTGATTAATTAATACTCTTTTAATTGGGTGATGAAGCACATCAGCATGCACTTCCTATTACTGATTAGACAGAGGGGAGGAATTTTGTTGTAATGTGAAGAACGTTACAGGATACTGTGATGTCAGAAACATCACAATACCCTAGCATGTGATTTGTTATTTCTAGTTTTGCAGTTCATATTTTCTAATTTCCAAAACAAAATGGCCTTGCAAGATAATTGCTATTTAAATACAAGATTTAGGAATCTATTTCTGCCTTATCCTCAGAGGTTGAGAGTGGGATGTAGTATCTTTAAAACCACAGAATAATCTTTAACAAATGTAAACAATAAAATACTCTGAATTAATTTATCACTAGTGCCATTCTGCAGCAACTAACTTCATTCCAGCCATCCAGAGTCAGTACAAATGTCACAAGATTTACAGTCCAAATAGTTAATTCAGTTGAGGCTTGTGTTCATTTTGCCATTATGGTAGGGTTTCCTAATTCCATTATTTTATTTTCATGTAGGAGAAGTTCCAGATCTATTTAGTGATGAAGATATGGATGCTGTAATTGCAGGAATTAGAAATGAAATACGGGGGCATGGTCTTGTTGATACCAGAGAAAACTGTTGGAAGTTTTTTTTAGACAGAGTACGACGCCAGCTAAAGGTAAGACATATATCTGAGATTTCAAGTGTGAAACCTGTGTTGAACTAGGACGAATGTTTATATTCTTTAGTGTGAGCACCACAGTATTTAGAATCATAAAGATGGAAGAAGTCATTTATTGTGTCTGTTCCAACCACCTGCTCAGTGCAAGAAATTCAGACAAGACCTTTTGCAACAGATGGCTGTCCAGCCTCTGCCTGAATACCTCCAGCAAAGGAGAGCCGACCCATACTCAGGTAGTTGGTTCCATTGTTGAACTGCTCCTTAAACTGAACTGAAATCTGTTATCCTATAACTTAAGCCCCTTAGATCTAGCTTTGCCCTTTGTAGTGACAGAGAACAAGCCCTTGCTCTTGTCTTGTGTAATTAATAGTCTTTTAATTGGGTTGAAGCACAGCAGCATGCACTTCCTATCACTGACTAGGCAGAGGGGTATGTGGCAGCCCATCAGATATTTAAAGAGTGAATTCATATCCCCTTTAGTCTGCTCTTCTTCAAGCTAAACATACCCAGTTGATTCAACCTTTCTCACAGGATTTGTTTTTCAGACCAGTGACCACTTTGCTAAACCTCTTCCAGTTTGTCTATATCTTCTTAAAAGTATGGTACCTTCCTGGACTTTGGTGCCCAGAATTTAATACGCTACTTCCCTAATGGTCCCAACTGTGTTAAGAGTGCTGCTGTTGATTGTTGTAGAACAGCCCCACTGACCTGCAGGCCATGTTCCGCCATGCCTTCCAAGGTGTCCTGGCTCCAGCAGCCATCCAAGCCTCTGTCTGGCAACATGCCTCTTCCAGCTTTCTTGACCCTTGGAGGATTTTTCTCTCCCTCTTTTGATTCACCTGCTGCTTTGTTGGAATTACCCATTGAGAGGACCAGGGCCCCCATCCTCCTTCCCTGCACTGCTGTTCTAACGCCCCACCTTGTGCCCATGTCTCCCATTAGCCAGCATCTGGTTACCATGGAAACAACTTACTGCACTTGCACACCACTGGGGGATTGGCAGTTTGCCAACTTGATTGCCCCCCCCCCTTCTCCTGGTGCCTGTTTTGAATAGCGTGTTTGAATGGTGAAGGTCTGTGTGATACAAAGAACAACTGCCAGCATCAAAAGTTATAAACATTTATTAAAAAGAAAATGTCCACACACATACACTCAGCACAGCTACAGAATGAGCAAAGGATCCCAAAGGAAAGGTGTTGTTGTTGTTCAGTCGCACAGTCGAGTCCGACTCTTCGCGACCCCATGGACCAGATCACGCCAGGCCCTCCTGTGCGTCGCTATCCTCTGAAGCTTGGTCAATTTCATGTTCGTTGCATCGATGACACCGTCTAACCATCTCATCCTTTGCCGTCCCTGTCTTCTTTTACCTTCTTTTACTGGAGATTTTTTGTCATCTTCTGGGCTTTGGAATGGGGTCACTAGGTGTGTATGGAGGGAAGGTATTTGTGAATTTCCTGCACTGTGCCGGGGGTTGGACTAATTGACCCTGGAGGTTCCTTCCAACTCTATGATTCTATGATCTCAGACCTCCCAAACCTCTTTTCTCTACTAGGTATCAGCCTCTAGCCAGAGCACTGTCTCCAGCCCAGGAATTCCATTAGCATTTCTAAAGCCTGGCTGGGTAAGGCTCAACCACCACCACCCCTCCTGTTCTCTACTAAGACAGAGAAAAACTTTTAAAAACTGAATGTTTTGTACAGTCCAAACATCTAAGATAAAACTCATTTCTCCACAGTGTTTCGTAAGTACATGCAAATATCCATGAAATTCCCTTTCTTAAGAAAGGCATGCAGTACCAGACCAAACATTTAAAGTGAAATGGCTCATGGTGTGCAACCATATACATTGTGGGAGGAGAAGCTGAGAGAATTTGAACCCTTGGTATGCTGCATGGTCCCCAGTGTCCCACCCCCAACACAGCTTAACCACCCATCAGTCCCTTGATCAGGCAGTGTGGGTACAAGCTGGTTGCTTCTGGGCAGAGTGGGATATTTTTGCTTCCAAGTGAGATGTTTCCTGTCCAGTGCTCCAAGTTGGCCAGGAGTGTGGGGAGTTTGGAGAGAGGGGGATAAGAGGGGTGTTAACACTTTGCACTTCTCTTGATGAAGGACCCTAGCTGTGCCGCCTTTCTATATGTTGTGTATCTGTTGTTAAAAGCATTAATAGTAGTTGTGGACTGCTTTGAATATCTTTCCTTATTATAATATTACTATTTTAAAAGTTATGGATGTATATGCCTTAATGAATACATAGTATTCTTGAACTATTACATCATAAGATTGCTTCCATATTAAGTACTATAACTTTTTAATGCCCTAAAAATGGAGTTACTGAAACTAATATGAAGCTAAATTAAACTACTTTTTGTTCTGTTTGAAGTTGGTTTATGGTTTTTGTAGAATAATTTGGAAGATTATCCCACCTTATATTTTTGTTTCTCTTGTGGCTTTGTATGAAGTAAGTTTTTGCCCCCATATTATCTTGTACCTGGTACTTGCAGTAAATATGTAAATCATGGCTCATATCTGTTTTGAAACTATTTCTTTCACTTCCATCCTCTTTGATCCTCTCTCTAATCTCACCCATGACTACATTATTTTAAAGGCTTTTTAAAATGCGCCTTGCCTTGCCACTGCTTTGCAGGTGTCCCACTGTGCAAAATTAGTACTTCCAGAGGCAGCTATGAAAAGTATCAATTCAGACTTTAAAGGGCTACAAAGTAGAGAGTATGTACTTTAGAAGATGTTGGTTAACGCATCAGACAACATCTGCAAGATAATACATAAAGGTAGCAGGAGAGAATGTATGTGGTAATGTAGGGCTTCAGTTCTAAACACACTTACTGGGTAATGCTCTGTTAAAATCAGTGGTGTTTCATTCCAAGGAGATATTTAAGGTCAGGAGTGTGAAGATCAACAAGAATTATTTAAGTGTGTTGTTATTTAAAAATAGGTAGGTGTTTATCTGATTCCTTCGGTTTTTCTGATATTGGTGAGAACCCTGAAGAATTGTTGTCATAGCACTGTATCAAAAACAAAGGTGTACCCAAACAGTAGTAGAAATCTTGCTTCAAAAATTGTGGTCATTGTTAACCTACACAGATTCAGAAACTCAGGAAGTGGTATTGTGCTAAACTGATTGCTTCAATGACTTTATTTTATAATTAGGATTTTGCATTGTTGATGAATGCATGTGAGATTCATTAGCTGGTACTGAATAGGGTGGAGAAATGACTCACAAGTAAAAGTTTGGAGAAGCACTAAATACAAAGCACGGTGCAAGTGAATAAAACACCACTTGACCTACACAGATTCAGAAACTCAGGAAGTGGTATTGTGCTAAACTGGTTGCTTCAATGACTTTATTTTGTAATTAGGATTTTGCATTGTTGATGAGTGCATGTGAGATTCATTAGCTCTTACTGAATAGGGTGGAGAAATGACTCACAAGTAGATAAAGTTTGGAGAAGCAATAAATACAAACCACGGTGCAAGTGAATAAAACACCACTTGCTTGGATGTAAAATCCTGATTTGACTAAATTCATTAGCTACTAGGTAGACTGCATTTTCATTGGTGAACCCAGTTAGTGGCTCACTGCTGCTGCAATTGACTGCATTCTTCTCTTTGATCACCATGTAATACTTCACCCTCACTTTTTTCTTTCTCCTCATCCATCCAGATCATTATGTGTTTCTCTCCTGTCGGTTCCACACTGAGAGTTAGAGCTCGGAAGTTCCCAGCCATAGTTAACTGCACAGCTATTGACTGGTTTCATGAGTGGCCACAGGAGGCCCTGCTGTCCGTCAGCAGGAGGTTCATTGATGAGACGCCTGGGATTAAGGTACAGAGTTTCAAGCTCCTCAATCATATGCAAAAACAACACAGCTCTCTGGAAGATCAATAATGGAACAGGTGGGGGGGGATCCTTTATTTTTTTGGTTTCTTCACATATTTATCTTCATTTAAAGTTGCAGAGATTACTGTGGTTTCTCACTATATTCTTTCAGTACAGGACAAGTAGTTTCTTTGGGAAATTTACAGAGTTTGAAATTTAAAAAAATTAAAATATGTTTAATAGACAAAATCAATTTACCCTAATGGATCCTAATATCCATTTGTGAGCTTTTAGGCCTCGTTATAAAATGGAAGGGTTTCATGTCATGACTTTGTTTAAAACATTTTGTAAAATTAGACGAGTTTAGTTCCATTTCTGGAAATTACCACCTTTCTGTCAAATTGTTACTTCTTTTGAATTTACTGCCATGTTTTTCACTCTCTAAAGAACTAAAAAAATTCAAAGTCTGTCCTCAGTATTCAGCCAGCAGATTCCACAAGTTCTCCTTTAAACTGGAGCCTGAACTGAGAATATTTTCTCTGCCATACTTCTTGCATCTATTTGTAAGATGCAAGTCAGTAAAGTAATATCAATTGGCTCTAAATAATTGCATCCTGATATGGTACTTCGTTGAAGAATTTCAGGAAGTCAGAATAGAATACTGTCAGTAACAGTGAAACCTTATAAATCATTTAACTGCATTTCCCTGTATTTCCCACCACCACTACAAACACACTGACACACACTCTTCCTCTTGAGAGAGATAAAGAGCCAGATGGAGAAGTGCTCATAAAACATTGGCCTCCTGCTCTACAAGGTGCTTTGTTAATGTTCATAATTCGACTCTGTCCCCCACCAAGCTGGATCAACTTTGACTAGGAACAGAAAGATTAGAAAAGGTCAAGATTTACCCCTCAATATGATTAAACAATGAGAAAATATAAATATGGGTATGAATGGCCTGATACCAGTACAGATGCTGATGACAGGGATAGATGCAACATAGTAGAACCAAGTGTGAAAACATAGAAACTGTGGGAAACGCTGGCTTACAAGGTGGGGCGGTCACGTGGTGAAGCCCCGCCCCTTCTTTACCCCGCCCTCTGCTTCGATCCTCATTCCGTTTGGGAATGAGGATGAAGCAGGAGGGTAAGTAGCCGGGCCTTCTGACACACTTCCGGTGATGTCAGGGGGTGTGGCCTTCTGTCACTTCCGGTGATGTCAGGGGGCGTGGCATATGCAAATAAGTTATGCTAATGAGTTATGCTAATGAGCTCCGGCAGCTCTTTTTCTACAACAAGACCCCTGGATGCAACATAGTAGAACCAAGTGTGAAAACCATAGAAACTGTGGGAAACGCTGGCTTACAATTGGTTTATAAATGATCCAAACAAAAGGAAGTAAAAAAATCTTTTTTTTTGGCTACAATCCCAGTGTTTGGGTTTGGTATATCAGTTAGTGCTCAGCAGCATAGATATCTGTTTGCTGTGATGCTGTCAAAGTAAAGGACTCATAATGATGAAAAACATGGGATTTCCAGATGGCTAAATGAAGCGTGTCCAATTGTGTCTTACTATCTGTTGCTATAAAAGAGAAATTTGCGGCAGCCAAACACTGTTGAATCCTGATAAAAGCTGCCAGTGAAAGTCTGGTCATAACAGCAGATACTGTGCTTTAGGTAAATGCATGCACTGGCTTTGGGCTAAGCTTTCAGAAACAGATCCACTGTTATGTGCTCAGTAAATATCCTCCCTGTTACCTCAAGAAGACACCAGTTCACAGTGGTCAGTTTAAAAGGGGGATTATGTGGTCTTTGAAAAAATTGCATTCCATCTAAAAGTAACAATACATTATGGTTTGAAAACTGAGTCAGAGAGAGAGGGGAGGAAATGAGGGAGTGCTTCTTTTAAAATGCAGCTTTCATTTCTTCATCTCCCATGCTAGCAATATTGAACAATGAAATCAGTGACTGTGATATTACAAAGAGTGACCAATGACATCTACTGGCCATGCAGAGACTCGTCTTATTTTCTGTACCAGCTCTATGCTGGTGATATCTGTACAAACTCGTAGGCTGCCTTTCGCACATTCATTTTTTATATTCTCCAAAATGTTTATTATATTGTTTTAATATGCTGAAGGGTTGTTGTATATCTACATATGTATTCAGATACCTCTTTAAAAGCAAAAAGCGCAGGTTGTGTCTCAGCAGTGCATCCCCCTTCAGAAATGAAGTTTAGTAAATCAGAAGCTGCTTATACCCTAGTCTGGTGAATTTCACCATTGTATTGACTAGTATAAAACAAGGGGTGGGGGAACCTAAAGAAAATCAAAGGAACAAAAACAGCCAGATTCCTGCCTCTGTCCCTTCTCCGTGGTTCTGTGAACACTATCCATCGTTGCTAGACCAGCATTAGTGCCACAGTAGCAGTAAAGGGGGAAACCCAGGGGTCGTTTCGTAGAAAAAGAGCTAGGGGAACTCATTAGCATAACTCATTAGCATATGCCACACCCCCTGACATCACCAGAAGTGTGTCATAAGGCCACACCCCCTGACATCACAGGAAGTGTGACATAAATACTTGCAGAGTCAACCCTGCTTAGCTTCCAAGATCTGCAGTTCTTGAGCTGATGGGGACCTCTGGACAACCTGGACAGGTGGCACGCTAGTCTTAGTGGACTATACCTCCTCTCAAAAAAAACAGTGCTTTTTTAAAAGTATGATGGCCAATGAGGGGCCCGGCGGTGGACCTGCAAGGCCGGCGGGAGTGCGAGGAAGCCCCGCGAAGGCCCTCCCTGGCCCCAGACAGGCAGGGGTGGGGAGAGGCGGGGGGGAAGCAACTTACCCTCCCTCTTCTCCTGCCTCCTCCTGGCTGAATGAGGGCCGGAAGCGGGGCGGCCGGAAGCAGGGAGCAGGACTTCGTCATGTGCCCTGCCCCCCCGCACCTCACCCGGGGGAACTGCGATCCCCCGCGATTCCCCCCAGAATCTACCTCTGGGGAAACCACTCTTCCTTCAGAATGATCATATACAGATTCAGTCTCTCAGTAGTATCCACTGTTGCTTTTTCTTCAATAGTATACTGAATTCTTGGATCAAAGGAAATATTTTGAAATTTTTGCTTTTTATATTGGTCCCTTGACTGTGTTGTAGGGATCAGATTTTGGTGCTAGGAACAAAACCTTTCCTTTCTGTTGAATGTAGTACAGATGTATACAACAATGAGAATAAATTTATGAGACATGCTCTCATTGCCTTGAAAAATTCATACTTCAAAATTAATGAATAATAAATCAGTTCTTTAACTGAAACTGCTTTGTTGAGAGTGACTTTGGTTTAGGCTTTAGTTATAAAAAGGGGCTTATATTCATTATAATTATAGAACAGAATACATTTTGGACATGTGGGAATCAGTTAAAATTAACTAACAGAGGTCTAACCATTTTTATCAATGCTTCCTTCAGAGGTTCACACTATCCTTGAGGCTGCATATTCACCACATCTTTCCAGTATGTGAAAGCAAAAAATCTTGCTACCTCAGCACTCTAGTAGCTTATTTCTACATGTAGACCCAAACAAAGTTTCATTGGAAACCTGAGTGTTTAAGACCTTGGAGATGTGACATGAATAACACACAGATGCACCTTCTGAGCAGTCAGTAAGACCTTATCCGCACTACGTGCTTGCCCCTGATTTCTGGCAAGTAGAATGTCAAAGCTGATGCTCCGACTTTGCAACACTCATTCTGCCAAAGGGCATTTATTTCTGCGTTTTCCTTTTGAATTTGAACCAAACCTGCCTGATGTATTCTGCCCTTCCTTGTTGTACAGCCATTTCGTCATATGTTTTGTCAGTGATGGGATGGCTCATTTTAAAAAATGTTAAATGGAGGAATGCTCAGTGGTGATTGGCCATTTAGAGTGCAACTGCTTAGATGTTTTCAAAAACATCAATGCTCCTGTGGGAGGAACCAAGTGCCTCCTCACCTTCTCTTCCTCCCAGAGCAAAAGAAGATCTAGCATTTCTCTCTCATGCCAGCACATACCCCTTCCACCACTAGGTTTGGAATTCGAAGACTTGCAAGAAACCCAAGGAGTAATAAATATATCCTGAGTGAAAATAGCTCCTCACATCCACTACTGCAGCCTGTGTTCCCTCTAAGGTGTGCTATGGGGTGCTGGCATGCAACATTTCAGCTGGCTGCTCAGGGCTTTTAGCTTCCAGCTCACAAGCATTTTTCCTCCATTGGAAACAATGGAGGGTGGGGTACTTCCTTCTAGGACCCATAGATTTGGACCCCATGGTCCAATCTTTTTGAAACTTGGGGGTGGGGTTGAAGAGCTATGCTGTAAATTTGGTGCCTCTACCTCAAAAAAACAACTCCCCTAGAGCCCCAGATACCCCTGGATCAATTCTCCATTATGGCCTATGGGCCCCTTGGTTATAATGGTCCCCATCGTAGGCTATAATGGAGCAGGGAAAATCATTGGGGGGTTTTTGCACACTCCTTTTCAGTATGATTTGTAAGATGCCTTAAGTCACAGTAAAAGTGGGATATAAATATTTGAATAAATAAGTAATTTGGTCAGGATGATAACATTTAAGCAACTTCCTGTTTGTTAGGTTAGGCAGGGCTCTAACAGTGATTGTTCCACCTCTGTTATACTTGACCTGTAAATTTGTCTTATTTCACTTTTAAAAACCCACCAAAGTAGACTGTAAGAGTGCTGGTATGTTTTCTAAGGCTCAGTGCAGGGTGATGGTCCAAGGCCAGGTCTACCAATAATAGTGGACTGGAGCGGGTAGACCTGTTCTCCAGAGGCCTGATCTACCCCCATAGAGGATAACATTTTGTGTAATGAAATTTGACTTGATTCTGTTTTCTCTTATAATGTTTAAATTATTGCTAAAATACAGTTTAAATATAGTTTTAAAAATTCGTTCTGAGACTTTTACAGGGTTATGGAAATAATCTTCTAAGAAACTAATTTATGTGATAGTCAAATGTAGATTCACAACTTTAATGCTACTAGCTTTTTTCGCTCATAAGGTAGAATTTCTGCTCACAACACTGTAGAGCTTAGAGGGAACATTGACTGCAGCTCTCTCCCCCCCCCCCTCACATGATGAGGATCCTTTGTTCACAGAAAAGGCTATGTTGAACCGCACCACTCAGTTTTCCCAGTGTTATATATAATATTATATATATAAGTTTTACATAGAGTCATAGAGTTGGAAGGGACCTCCTGGATCATCTAGTCCAACCCCCTCCACAATGCAGGAAATTCACAAATACCTCCCCTTCCACACCTGTAGTGACCGCTGTTCTCCATGGAGAACAATGGAGAGGTGTGGATGCCAAGCTGCGAATTCAAACACCTCAGTTATCACTGAGGAAATGCTGTTTTGTGGGTATGACAACTTTCCCTTCCATTCTTGTGCCACATTTGATACTTTTAAAAGCTACATTTAATCATGGTAGACTGACCACAAAAGCTACTTTGGGGGGTGCCTGTCTCTGAGGTCCCCCTGCCCAGAGGCCCCCCAGCCCCCGGGGCATATCCACCACAGCAGCAGCCCTCACTTGTGCCACCTGAGCCTCACTCTGCTCACCCTGGCTGCTGGACTGTGAAAAGCTCAGGGCCAATGGGGATGAACTGTGGCTGCCAGAGTGGGCAGGAGGCAACACTGCTGAAGCAAGAGCTGCAGTGCTCTACCTCACCATGGCACTGCTGCCTAGGCCCACTGGATGGGGCACAGTGGGGCCAGGACAGAAGTTCAGTGGGTGAGGCTCTGAAGCCAAGGCAGGTAGAACACCCTGCCGGGACCCAGGTGGCCAAGAGATGGGTCACTGCCCCACATGACGCATCTGAAGAGCAATCTGGAGGGGAAGGAGGTCCACACCCTGACGCAACCATCACTCTGGCAACAGCTTAGGACAGGCCAAAGGAGACACAAATATGCCTGCACAGTGGCCAGGGATGAAACGTTTCCAGGGGGAAGAGGGAAGGGGCAAGCATCATCCCTGGCAACTTTACAGCACATTTATGATTCCTTCAGCCCATCCCAAGTGGTTGCCTTGGTGTCAGCTGGATCGTTGCCCAAAGTATGGGAATGGGACAGCCTTTAACTTTTGTAAGGTTGTGTCATAAGAGATGCCTGAGGAATAAAAGGTGAGGCATGGTGTAATAGATGCCTCTGAAGAGAAGTGGAAATGAGTGGATAAAGTAAATGTGTTGAGGAGGAAGGAAGAATGTTCTGCAGAATTTAAGATGCACTGTAAATTAAGACATTTAATGGTCAGATAGAAATAAGAAAAGAAAAAGAAAAATTCTGCTCCTTTCTAGAGATTCCACATAGGAGAAGACTGGTGGACATGGGCTGATTATCATTTGTACAATTTATCCACTGCAAGCTAAAGTTATTTCTATTTGTTAAAGGACAGTTGACCACATAGAACTAGTGTGCATGGGCTACACCACCCAGTAAATAGTGACAACAAATGCAAGATCTGTAATTAAATTCATTAGTAGAACCTACATTCAACTTCTAATTGGTCCAACCCCATGATTTACACAGCCATAGTAATTGCATTTACTGAGACATTACAAAAGCAAGGCAGGCCTCGCAGAAGCTTTGGAGCATGAAATAATCAGAATAAGATATCCCATCCATGTAAGTTCACCTCTCACTTCAAGATCTGAGTCAGCGTTATTGCCCACAAAAGAAGAAAGGAAAATGTGCAGGTGTGAATGGGCTTCCCAGCTGAGTTCAGTGGTAGGAACAGTTCTGTAAGGGCAGTGAAAATGCTTGCATGGAGTCTCTGACAATAAAATCAAGGGGAAAACTTTTTGCCTAAGATCAGTAAACAGTGATATCTTCTGCCAAATAGAGATGGTTGGTGCTGTATGCTCTTTTTGGTGAGAAGTATTGCACCTGCAATCAGTACCTCAAAACGCAACTGGTGATCATCCATCAACATTAACTATCTGTTCAGCAGTGCATCAGGATGCAAAAACCTACTTTGTCCATAGGGCTGTTCCCCAACCTGCATCCTTTTGCAGGCCTGGAAACTCATTCATGTATGGAAGTCTATTTCGAGCTTGGATCTAGGCACACGCATGCACAAATATTGATTTTGTAAAAAAAAATTGCTCAGTTGTTTCTGGGAACAGTTAAAATGTTTAATTTATAAGTTGTTGGTTATAGTTATTGGTTCATTGCTGTGAAATTAGTTTTTACTCAAAAAGGGTCAAATTAGCAATAAACTTACTGTTTTCCTTTCTGCTTGATGGAGCTTAGACTGGAAAATAAGGTATAGTAGTATTGAACAAAACACTACCAAAACCTTGGAGATAAATGAATGACAGAATAAATAATTTATGCTAATGAAATTACTGCAATTAGTAGTTCCACAATGACCCTTTTAGAAGACACAGCTGTTAATGTCAGGAAGTGCTGTCACTGCTGACCTTATCATAAGAGAAAGTGACAAATTGAAAATGCAGGGAAGACCAGTCATCAAAGAGGTCTGCTCAGAACGATTAGAGTTTTCTGAAAAACAGTGTGAATTACAACCAGCTGCTCTCTGGCTCAGCATGCCTCCCATGCTGTGCCATTTTGTTAAGCTTGATAACAATAGTTATTTTGCCCCATTGGGACATGTTGTCTCAGGCCACTTCCAGCTTTACCGGAACCCACTTCTACCCTTGCTGGTTTACAAATGAAACTGTTGTTACCAAAGGCTTTTCAGGACCACTGTGTAAAGATTTCTCATAAGGATCATGGCTGGGCAGAAGCCAATCACTCTATTTAAAAAAGTTTCCTTAGCTAATTTTGTGTGTGTGTGTGTGTGTGTGTGTGTGTG